GATAAGTATATAATAATTATAAAAGATAGTATATAGAAGGAGAAGGAGGCCCTAGTTACCTTTAGGAAAATTGCGAAACTGGTTAATAGAGAGTTCGGTACCAGTTATATCTATTTTAAATATACTAAAGGGATTATTAATATACTAGGTATATAAGGCGGTAGTAAGAGCCCTTAGGAGTTAGTAGAATAAATCTAATTTAGTTACTACTATCTTAGCTAATAGGATAAGTTTTAGAGGAAGTTCTCTAGCTAGTTTATACTAGGCCTAGATCCCAGAAACCTAAAGGAAATATATGGTATCTACGAATTTAATCTAAAACCTATACTCCTAGTAGTCGCGTTATTTAATACTATATACTAGCTTTTATTTAAGAGTATTTGCAGAAGGGTTATACCTAGATACTAATTTCAGCCTAATATTATCTATACCTAAATGACTATAGACGGTAGTATAGTACTACTATAGCTACTTAGGTAGCTAAAGGAAGACTTTAATAGTACCTACCCTAGTAGAATTCTATTACTAATCTACTAAGAATTTAATATATATAAGTACTATTTTAGTAAGTATTATAAGTACCGCCTTAGCTAGCTGTAGAGTATATAGTATAGCCTAGTATAGTAACTAATCTAATAAGACCCAGTATACTATACCTATTACATTTTCTTTCGGCTGGACTACTAATAGAAATTAATTATATTTCTATACTATATAAAGAGTATACTACCTAGTAAGAGAACATCGTTCTAATATATTAATATTAATATTAGGGAGTTTATAGCTACTAGTAGGGGTTATAATATCCTATAGGGATTAGTCTCCCTTAATAACGAAGATAATAGTAATTATACTATTATTCTACTAGGGATATAACGCTACATTACTTCTTAGTAGAGTAACCTATAAATTTGCGCAGAGGACCTAGAAAACCTATCTAGCTAAAAGCTATTTAAGGTCCCTAATAGCTTTATCTATAGGATTATCCTAAAGATATAGCAACTAGAGGATATAGCTTAGTACTAAACGAACTAGAAAAAGTAAGTCTATAAGGTAGGCGATATCCGCCTATCCCTTCCTACCCTTCCCTATAGCTTAATAGGACTAGTAACTAGATAGAGGAAGACTGTCTTACTATAGTTTATAGGTATTAGAGATAACCACTTAATACTCGATATACCTAAGTCTAGTTCCTAGGAAGAGGTATCAGCTATATACAGAGACCTCCTTAATACCGCTAGGACGCCCTTTAGACTAATAAGCCGGTAATATATATATATCCTATATACCTTCCCTACTACTACCTACTTCTATACTACCTCTGCCATTTTAGAATACCTAGTAGGGTAGTCTAAGTAGATAATACTAGCTGCTATAAAGGACCTTAATATACTCTTTAGGCCTAATAAGGCCGCTATAGTAATATATATTCAGAATTAGAGGTAAGAGGTATAGCTAAAGTATACTCGCCTATTTAAGCTAACTGTTAAGGCTGAAAAGGACGCCTATAGGAAGAACTTATTCTTTTAGAGATATAAGAGGGGCCTTCTTAATAATAGTAACGCCGGTAGTAGTAATACTAATAGCGGTAATACTAATAGCAGTAATACTAATAGCAGTAATACTAATGGCAGTAATAGCGACGATAACGATAATAATAGTAGCGATGATTAGCCTAATAACGATATCGGTATTAATATTAAGATAGGTAAGGGGGAGGAGGAGGGCAGTAAGGCTGATAGAGAATTTAAGGAGGTTGATAATTAAGGCTGTATCAGCAAATTTTAATAGGTACTAGATATATCACTAGATATATCTTTTTTTTTATAGATAAATGTAACTATAATAATTTCTTTTATAATAATACTTCTACCTCGCCGCTACTACTTATAGTTTTTTCGCCCGAAAAACCAGTTACCGGTTTTTTAGGCGAAAAAAACTCTTAGTCTAAGAAGTACTTCGCTACTGTCACTTAAAGTTTTTTAGGCAAAAAACTAGTTACTGGTTTTTTAGGTAAAAAACCCTTAATCTAAGAAGTAGTTTACTTTTATACTTCTACTTCGCTACTACCACTCATAGTTTTTTAGGCGAAAAACTAGTTACTGGTTTTTTAGGCGAAAAACCCTTAGTCTAAGAAGTAGTTTACTTTTATACTCCTACTTCGCTACTACTACTTAAAGTTTTTTGGGCGAAAAACTAGTTACTAGTTTTTTAGGTAAAAAACTCTTAGCCTAAGAAGTAGTATATATTCTCATAATTTCCGCTAACTATGTATTTATGGTATAGTAGACCTACTGTCTATAGGATCTATCTAGGTAAGGTTTTTTCTTAGGCCGCGTAGCTGCGTAGCTATATTTAATTTAGGCTATTACCTAATTAGATAATCTTCGACCCTCCTCAGCGCCTACCTACCTAGCAGAGAATAGGCTAAGCTCCTATCACAGAAGACTATACTTCCTATTTATATATATCCTACTTTATATATATCCTACCCCTATCTCTATACTCTATACCACTACCCTTATTATATATAGTACTAGGCGCAATACCTAGAAGTACTTATTCTAATAGGGATATAGATCTAGCCTATAGCTTAGGCTACGTTCCCTCCTTCCCTTAGGCTTCCTAGGCAGAGTCTACTTAAATTCTATCCTCTTTTCTTCTACTATCTAGTAGCTAAGCTATGCCCTCTAATACTAACTTCCTACATCCCCTAAGCTACTAAGAACTCCTACCCTACCTTACCTATATTAGGCCTAATTAGAGAAAGGCCTTTATCCTCTATAAAAAGATAGTATATATAGAGTAGGTTAAGTAGTAGCTATAAACTAACTATAAGCAGAGGTTTAAGGACTAGATATACTAGGATTTAACTTATAATACTCTTATCTAGTATAAGTTTAGCTAGGTAGCCTACTCTAGGGATAGGATACCGAAGGTCTAGTATAAGGCCTACTATAGCCTTTTAGAATACCTAAACTCCCTATCTTCTACTAAGGGTAGCTATAATAGTATATTAATAATAATAAGATACTCTAAAATATAGGCCTACTGGAAGGCCTAAGAGGGAGGGAGGAGAGGAAGGGGAGTAATAGCCTAATTTCTTTAAAGTATAGTATATTACTAGAGCCTATATTCCTATCTTAAAAACTTACTTATATACCTAGACCTAGATTTCTAGGCCTAAGATACTCCCTTTTTATAAGACCTCTAGTAAGAGAGTCTTCTCTAATTTATTATAGGATACCGAGTTCTATTTCATATAGTCGAAAGCCTAGTATTTTAGAAGCTCTTCTAGATTACCTACTCTATACCATCCTTCCTAAAGGTACCCTCTACTAATACCATTCGCTATTACCTATAAAAGGCTATTAGATAGGGCCTATCTATAGTACTCTATATACTACTAAAGGATATAAAAATCTTAGTTACCTTAGATTACTAGACTTCTCTATATAACTAGGTATTTATAGTAATTACTAGCTACTTTATTAATAGTAGCTAGGTATACCAGGAGGTTTTACTTAGGTTTAAGCCACTTTATAGGCTATATATAGGGAAATATCTAAGTACTATCCTTCTTAAAATACTAGATAAGCACTAGATTAAAGACTAGGTATTTAGAATCACAACTAATAATATATCTAATAATATAACCCTAATTAAGGCTACTTAGATAGTACTCCCTAGTGGCACACAGATATTCTAAGTACCCTACCTTACCTATATTATCTAACTTTCTCTAGGCCAGCTCCTTAGTTACTTAAAGGTAATACCTAAAAATCAGTTCCTTAAGATAAAGTAGGACTAGGAGAAATTATAGCTAGTAAGGAAAAATAGTAGGTATAGGATATAGAAGATCTTATATATACTAAATAAGGTCCGCTTCCTAGCTATCTATATCTATACTAGCCCCTAGCACTAGGATACCTTTCTTAGGGACTAGGAGGAGGGGCAGAAACTTATTCTAATTTAGGATATATTAACCCAGTAGAACTTAATATTCTTAATACTTCGGTAGGTAAAGAGATTATACCGCTTCTTTTATAAGTTCTATTCTAAGTTTCACTATACCGAGATATAACTTAGTAATAAGGAGTGGTATTAAATTAACTACCTTCTGTAAATCACTTAGCCTTTCTATAACTTTATAATAGAACTCTTAAAGATAAAGGATATAACTACCTATCTTATCTTTAAGCTTTATAATACCCTCTTTAACTACTTCAACCAGGTAGCTACCCTACTTTAGTAGAAGTATGTTCTATAGAAGTCAGAGATACTTAAGATACTTAAGGCTAATCGCAAAAAGCTTAAAGAATACTATATATAGATAACCAGCCTTTAGGGAAACATTTATATAGTTAGGATAATACTAGCTCCTAACAGTTAATCTCAATTCTTCTAAATATAATAATAGGAGGCCTACTAGTACTGTGAGTATAGGAAGGCCTTCTAAGAAATGCTAGCCCCCTACTAAGAATATCTAATAGTAAATAGGAGATTAGCTAAAATACTAGCTACTAGGCCGGGTACCTCTTAGCTAACTAATCTCCTAAAAGGAGGCTAGAAATCGGTAAAACTAACTAGTAATAAGCTGACCTAGTACCTTGACAGCGGTATATATATAACCTAGTTATATCTATTACTATACTAACCCCCTACTATTAGATATAGTTGATATTAAGCCTTTATAGTTTTAGCGGGAGAACAAATCTCGTTTCCCTGCGATTATATTACTTACCTATAATATTCTCTTAATTCTAGTAACCAGTACTGGTATTAAGCGGCTCTTTAATACTATATAAGATATTTACTATTATCGCCGCGGTTATATGAAGTCTAAAACCATTAAGGACCTTATACTATATCACTATATAACTAGATTTAGTATTTAGGAAGCTAAGATATAGGATCTCTAGTAGTACTTCAATTCTACGGAGATTAAGGCTATAAGGGAGGAGGCCGATAGCCCTATTGATAATACCGCTGAGCTTGATCTAATTAGCAATAATAAGGAGGGTGAAATTTGTGGGGGTAGTAGTAATAGTAATAGTGATAGTAATAGTAGTGGTGATAGTAATGGTAATAGTAGTGATAGTGACAGTGATAATAGTGGTGGTGATAGTGATAGTAATGGTAGTGATGGTGGTAGTAGTAGTGATAGTGATAGTGATGGTGGTGGTAGCGACGGTGATGGCGGTAGTAGGGGGGACAGGGGCTAGGACGGAGATAGAATTAGTAGTATAGAGATAGATAAGCTAGCGTTACCAGATACAGATACGCTATTCTGGGCCTCTCGGAGAAAGTGTAAGAGTAGGGTAGATAATGATTTCCAGCTATACTAGGAAAATGCATTAAGTTTACTTTCTCCTAAAAATTTTACTAAAAATTTTGCCGAGTCCTGCAATAATTACAATACGCATTATTATAGGCAAGGATGCATTACTTGTATATCTGTGCAGTAGGGGCCTATTTGTCTTATTTACCTTAGATTTAGGCCCGAACGGGGGCCTAAAAGCCCGCGCGGGCCCATAGGCTGGGCCCGCGACCCGACCACGGGCCGAGAAGTCAGGCCCGTAGCCCAACCCGGCCACAGGCCGGGCCAGGTCGGGTCGGGTCAAAACGGGCTTTAGAGAAGTCTAAATAGAATAATATAGCTAGTTATTATACTCCTCCTAGAAAGAGGGAGCTTACTAGTAGGCTTACGGATCCTCCTTAGGGGGGTACTCTATATAACTAGTATCCTCCCCCTCTATATAATATATACCTAGAGGCTTATATATATAGTCACCGTTATAGAAAGTAATATTGGTAAGATTAGTATCCAATTATATATACTCCCTAGCGGTAGCCTCCTAGGGATAATTAACCTAATATACAGCTATAGGACGATTCTACTATAGTTAACGCGCTGCGTATCCTATAGTAGAGTAGTCTACTTAATTCTATAGCTTATTAGCTAGTAATAGCTAACCTACTTAGTTAGTATAATTATTTAGCTACTACTATTAGCGCTACTATAGTATATATAGCGCGCGCTATACCTAGGGGCCACTTAGTAGAAGTATATATAGAGTCTTCTAGTTCTACTACAGCTATTATTAGTTATAATTCTAGTTATAATTCTAGTCCCAATTCTATATAGGCTAGGAAGCGTTAGTTACTAGTAGTATTATATCATAAGGGCAGAAAGGGAGTTAGTATCCTAGACTTAGGTAACCATACCTAGTACTATAGCTATATACTAGATAAGGGTTATATAGGGGGGCCTAACCTTAGTATCTAGGGTAGTATTAAGGCTATATCGGATACTACTAGGCCTAGGTATATTATAATATCTTATACCACTAACTATAATATAAATCTAGATCTACTATAAACTATAAGATTATAGTCACTAGGTTAGGTTTATATATATTATATTAGAGCGTTAGCTTAATATATATCTAAACCAGATATAGGAATATTATAGTCCCAGTAATTTCTATAGCTTATATATCATAAAGTATATTCTAGGCCTATTCTATAATACTATACCCTACATAGATATCGCGCTAAGAGTAGACTAAGGTAGGAGCTATAACTTTAGCGATTGCCTCTATTATATATAGCTTAAAGTATTTCTTAAGTATAGTATACCAGCCAAGTTATAGTAAGCGTACGCTTAAGTCTTAACACTCTTTATCTAATAACTCTATAGTATACTATTATACAGCTGTCTCCTAAAGGTAGGAAGGTAAGTTAGCTTAGATAACCTCCTTAGATTTTAAGGAGACTAAGGCCTAGAGCTAATTTAGGAAAGTATATATATTAGTATAGTATATACTTCCCCTTATAGTATAGATATAGGTATCTAATATTAGATCTAGGGTAAAGTAGCCGATATCGTCTATCTTCTAATAGCTAGAACTATATATAGTATCCTAGCTATCTCAGCCTACTAGTCCCTAGATTTCCTTATAGTAAGCTGTAATAACCTTATTAACTATCGCCTATATATTATAGGCCTAGCGAGAATATATAATAGCCTACTTAATAATATAACTTAACTCTTCCCTAGATAGGGCGATAAGCTACAGCCCCTCTAAGGTATCTAGATAGGAGTCCTATATGTGACGTGCCAGGTCGATCAATAAAGAAAGAGTGCATATACAACAGAAGAGTGTATTCCGACGAAGATAACTAAGATAAGAAGAAGGAAAGAAGAAGCAAGTTGCAAAGTGGGAGGCAGCTAGGTAATATAGCTAGCCGCTGACCGCTTTGCAATAATGCCACTAACAAGCAAACAAGCAAACAAGCATAGCGATCGTAACATATCCCCCGCGCGAAATTCCATCTAGTCCCTAGATGCTAGACTAGCAATAGCAGCGTCGTAATCAAAATCATCTTCATCATCAGCTTCGAGAGCAACTAGATCTGGGTTGATCGAGTCAATAGCTAGCGAGCCGACAGCGAGATCCATACGGTCGCCGTTGTTGTGGTTGCTGGAATTATTGTGCGTAGAATTTGTTGCGTTTGAATGAGTGGACGAGAAAGAATATCCGGTGAGTTATTGGACAATTTTGATAAATTCCGGGTAAGTACGTGGAAGATTCAGTTGTTAAGAAAGGCGACTGCGGAGTGAATTATTAAGGCCTTTGCGGAAAGCGGAGATCTTTATAACGTTGGGCCAGTCTTGACCTTTGGCTTCGTAGAGAACTCTCTCGAACTTAGCGATATAAGCAGGGATCGAATCGGTATCCTGCTTAATCGAAAGGAGACGATCTTCGGCTTCTTGAGTCTTATTAGGATTATCGTAAACGCGACGGAGTTGATCGAGAATTGTATTGAAATCGTGTATGCCGGAATCACGTGCGATAGCGAGCTGGGGTAGGACCATTGCCTGAACTTGGCTTGCGAGGTTGAGATAGACGTAATAGAATTGGGCTGTCGAATCTCCGATCGCTAGTCCGTCGATGGCGAGTTTTGCACGAATAGCGGCGTCCCACGTGTCGTATTTAACTGACTGACCGGTAAACTTCTCTGGATCTGGAAGCGAAGACTTTGGACGTCTTGCTTGGGGAGTAGGTGGTTGTTGAACCTGCGCTTGTTGTTGAAGTGTCTGTTAAAGATCTCGGATTTCGCCGCGAAGGGTCTCGATTGTGACGGCGAATTCTGCGCCAAGTTCGGTACGAAGTTCGGCGCGAAGTTGTTGTTGATCCATTTTGACAAGGATCGAGGGAAGGGAGCGAGGTTGAAAAATTGCACTGGAACCTTTGGCCTGGGCGTGGTGGAAAGAAGAAAAAAAGGTGGATTCAAGAATTCAGGGTTCTGGGTAGGAGGGTCCGAAAAAGTCTCTCGCGCACAGCTTACTTAATCGTCCCGGAGCAGTCTAGTCTCTAGCTCGCAACCTGAGGTCTGCCGCGTCACCGGACTGTCCAAAAGAGAAAAGATGCTTCGACCGAGAATGTACTCGCAATGAGACTTCTGTACGGTGTGCGAAAGCGTGCCACTACTTGCCACAGGACTGCGTAGCAAGGATCTTAGTTATTATGTGACGTGCCAGGTCGATCAATAAAGAAAGAGTGCATATACAACAGAAGAGTGTATTCCGACGAAGATAACTAAGATAAGAAGAAGGAAAGAAGAAGCAAGTTGCAAAGTGGGAGGCAGCTAGGTAATATAGCTAGCCGCTGACCGCTTTGCAATAATGCCACTAACAAGCAAACAAGCAAACAAGCATAGCGATCGTAACACTATATAGGACTTAGAGTACTAAGAGGTAGGAGGGTACAGTCTATACCTATACTACCGGCTTATAAATATTTACTTAGTAGATCGCTTAAGCCAGCTAGGAGATCTCTAGACTATAGGAAGACCGGTATTAGTATTATCGGACTTATCTATAGTAGCTAGAACTATAATAGACAGTCCTTATCTTAAAATTAGTAGTAAGGGTTATAGGTAGGTATCCTTATAATAAGTATATAGAACTCCTTTATCGCCCTTATAAGCTCCTTACAAAGTAGCCAATCTATTAGGTAGGGGTTCTCCTTAGGTAGATAGGGTATATTATAAGTATATATAATAAAGAGGATCTTATAATTAAGTTCTAGGGTCTAAAGCTCTTCGCTTATACTATTATATTCGTTAAAGTATATAAGAAGCTAGTATCCGACGAGGATATAGGTCTAGAGCTATCTCTTAGTAAGAGGTATCGGACATTACCCTAATTAGTGACTGGGAAGAGTATAGGGGACTTAGGTGGGTAATAATAGGGATTATAGGTCTTATGACCCTAAGAGAAAGTAGGGCTCGGTTCCTATAACCGCGAGTATCTATACCCTAAAAGAAAGTAGGGCTCGGGTCCTATAATTGGGAGGACTTTATAGCCAGAAAAAAAATTGTCTACCCCCAGTAGTAACAATATGGTCGGAATTCGACAGTTGAAACTTGGGCACAGGTAAAGTAGTACTGTGTTTAATGTAGGATGAAATTGTAATGATAAGGTAATTGGTTGGGATAACTGGAAGTAGGTAGTTAGTTGATAAAGGTGATAGAGCTTTGGAATTCCCTTCGCCGCTGGCGACCCAGTGGCGAAAGGGACACTTGAAATTCAATAACTGAAAGGTGAGCCTAACCAGAAGGACCTCTGGTTTAGCAGGACATGCTACCAATTTGTTACGGAAAAAGCTCAGTGGTGGTAAAGATGATGTTATTACTATGGAATGGTTACGTATGATATCCACCTTGCTTAGTCATGCTTCCTTGTAGCATAGGCCCTCACAAAGAAGGTGGAAAGTAAAAGTATGGCAGTGGTTGATAGGGATGCCTCAGGTTTATACGACCTTTGCTTTCACCCGATATTATTTCTGTCCCTCTCTAGAACTGTGCCTTTCTTTCTCTCATGGCAGCATGCAAATAATCAATTCCCCGGCGTTTGTGCTCGATACTTTACTTCATATATTGCCCTTCGGAACATAGCCCTAAGCCGATGCCACTCGCGCTAGTCCCAACTAAGCCTAGCATATATCACCTGACCCGTGCGAGAAAAAATAAAACCCTCGCCTCGAAGATTCCGTTTCCTCTTCTTCTCCCAACTCCTCGCTCAAAGAATCGCATTCAAAGCTCACACACAAAAGGAAGCCTTGCTCCCTTTTCAACCTCGCTTTGGGAGAAAGTCCCCGGACACCCTGCACTTTGGGTCAAACCAAAGTATCAAGCCAGGCACTGCGGAAACGCGCCGCCATAAAAGCAATTCGATAGCGGCTTACGCCCTATTCTCTCACGGTATCCCGTGCCACCCGACGGTTACATTTCACGATGTCTCTGGAAACAATGGGGTGCGTGCTGGGTATTGGAGGGGGGAAGGATTGGTGGTAAAGCACCTTTTCTTGTATTGGGTTGCCTTTCGTCATGTTCGGATAGTCATGCGATTGCCTCCTGTCTGCTTCCTCGGAAGTCGATGGAGGTAACTCAATGGGGCTCATTCTTGAGGCGAGGAGTTCCTTGATCTTTTCTTTTTAGGAGTCTGTAGCTTATGGCAAAGCGGTGATGAGATTATGTCTCATTGCAGAAGCCCTGTCACAGGGGCCGGACTCTTATATCTTGCCATAGGCTTCGTTTTTTTTTTGTTCGCGTGATGATATACCAATCATAGAGTCAAGCACAGAGATCCCAAGGGGTTGTTGACGATAAACGATTTAAAATTATCTGATGAACATTCTATATAGCCAGCTTTTCAATTCGAGCAGTTTCTAAAATACCAATGCAATTGAAATGAATGATTAAAATGCAATATTCATAAGTAAATCGTAGAATTTCACTTCGTATATATAATACAGCCGTTCTACATGCCACATAGCTAGGCTCTTGTTTTTTGGTTTTTTTTTTCACTGGGCCTTGATGCCCTCAGCACCGACAGGCGCATCCTCCTTGTGTTCCTTCTTCTGGCCAGCCACCTGCACCAGCAGTGCTCCTACAAGCTCGGCGGCGAACGCAATGCTAGTCGCACAGACATTGCTCCATACCTGGATGCTGACGGATCCAAGCGGGGCGCGAGGGAAGGACACGATCCATTCAACATAGTAGGGGAACCAAGCCTCGGGAAGCGGGAAAACAGGCGTTTTCGAGTACCAGAACTGGAGGAACATCTTCAATCCGTTTGTGCTGATCCAGCGGGCGATCTTGACGGTCCAGTCGAAGGAGGACTTTTCAGAGGTGAGGGTCTTGTCTAGAAACCAGAGTGTTAGCAGTCTGCTCAACAGATATAACAACGTCTCCTGTAGTCTTGTAGTAGTGACACGTACTCAGCGCTTCGTATTCCTCCATAGTCTTGTCGTGTCGTCTTCTAGCCTTCGCCCACTTCGCAAACTCATCCTGGGAGCTTGTGCTGTTCATTTCGTGTTTCTGCTCGAGGACTTGGCGCTTCAGCTCCTGCTGCTTCCGTGCAGTCTGCGAGGTTGATGTCGGCAGTTTTAGATAAAGGAGCCATAGCTGTGTTGCAAAGAGATTAGGTGTTAGCGTGTGGAATCACAATGTAGGTGCGCGGCGGAGCTGGGAAACTATTCCGAGGCCAGAAATGGGCGGATTGGAGACATACAAGACCATCGACGGTACTCGCGCCGACCGTATTGACCAGGAAAATTGCGACGTGCAAGAAAAAGACTGTAAGGACGAGGGACAACATTGTAGCGGGGACTGGCAAGACCGGGATGAAGCGTTGAATGCGACGGCGCAGGCTAAGGGAGCCTGGAAGAAAGCGAGAGCGGCACAGTCGGCCGACTAAGTGAGTGTCTGGTGGCTCTGCTGGATGAGACTGGAGATGTCCTAACAAGATAGATGTGGTTGAAGGTGTGAATGACGTTGTGGAAAGGTGGAAATAACAGCGGACTCGGCCTTTCCGCCTTCACAGTATCACGGTCTACACCATCTTGTCTGCCACGTTGCCTGTAGCATGGCAAGACAATAAAATACAGAAATATTACAATCAAACAAAATATGATGAGGCCTTGACGGTTGTACCTTTCAATATTCGCCAAACAACCAAGCCCTCCAATGTCCAACCCGAAAGATGCATTCCAGGAACTTGTCCGCATCTTCTCATCTAGAGACAACCGAGTCCTCGAGATCGAGATCCTTCCATCAAGCCTAGGCGTTCCATTTATCCAAGATGGATGCTCAGTGGGAATAACTAAGAAGGTACTAGTGCAGGCCTTCACGGTCGCGCGCCAGCTCTTCTTCGACCGATTAATGCCTATGTCCGAAGATGACCTCCAAACCACCTTTTCCACAAACGCTCAGTCTAGAAATGCAGACTCGGCTATTACAGAAATTATGCTCCTCTTTGACTGCGAGCATCTCACGGCCTGCAACTGGCGCAAGCGCCTACTGCAGGCGGCCATGTCCTACCCTGGTATTTCAAACCAGACCTCTGCCGCAGAGTTGTTAAAAGCAGAACTCACGCTCATGTCGAGCTACCAATGCTCGCCACTCCATCGACATACCAAGTCGCCGACGCTCTGGCATCACCGGCTGTGGGTGGTTGTCCATCTGCTTCAAAGACGGCATTGGGGTCTTGAGGACCTGCTTAAGCTGCAACGGACGGAATTAGATTTTATTCTCCGCGCTGGAGAGCTGCATCCCAAGAACTATTATGCTTTCAGCTATATGCGACAGTTGGATGTGCTTTTGGCTGCTACAGCGGAGAAGACACTTGGGCAATCGACATGGGAAACCTATTCGGCGCAGTCAGTTGTCGAACGGGTGCTTGATTGGTGCTTGGCTAATCCACGCGATATATCGGGTTGGAGCTTCGCCCTCTACATGCTGAGCAATGTTCCAGAGCAACAGAGTCGAGTCAACGCTCTTGGGAGAGTGGTTAAGTTTGCGCTTAACGTTGGATGGGAAGGCGAGAGCCTTTGGACGTTTGTCGACCAAGCATCGAGGCAGTTTGGGCTTGAAAGTGTGATCAAAGATATCATTCTGTTGCACTGCGATCAAGCAGCCAGACCTCCTGATTGCCAAATGGTTCAAGATAGTCGACAGAAGAAGTCATGGCAGACCTGGCTGGCCCGGGCGAAAGTATGTTGGGTTGTAGACCAAGGGCAAAATACATAACCGGACGATATGGATGTATGTGTTTACGCGTTTACGATTACCACCAAATTGCACCTCCATGATATTTCTCATGTGTCGTTGCCTCGTTCGGTTAGCGCTGTGGTATACATGCTTGGGCTAAATATGATAAACGCCAAAGAGATTCAAATGAACGCCTCGCTAGACACCCAGCCCCCGGTTTTTGAAAATGGGCATAGGCGGATGGTTCCGATCTTATCCATAAATCCAGCGCCGTCCTTCACTCGTAGCACACTTTGCGATGCTGCTCGGTGGGTTGTCCGTTTCGGGCGATCGCGGAAAAGGTGGAGGGAGATGAGATTGACTGACGGGTTGGATCTAAGGATTGGGGCGTGTTATTTTTTCCCGCCTGCTGCTGCCTCGGCAGCTCTCTTCTCGTCCGCTGTAGAAGAGAAGCGATCAATAAACCAGTCTCATGTGAATTGGGCTTGCGTCTAGCGCCTTCAGGGATACACACCCTTCCTCTGCTTCTCGCGCATGATGGCAGCGGCATCTTCCTTGGCCCTAGCGAATTCGCTACCGGTCTGGGTATTCTTGTTCTTCTGTAGAAATGGTCAGTATGGACAAAGAAGGGGGAGATAAGACGAACCGAATTGCCCGCCTTCTTCAGGGCCTTGGCCCGATCGTTGTCACGTTGGTTACCCCGTGTCATGTTGTGTGATGGTGCGATTATCCCAAGAGTACCGAGAGTAGTGAGCGCGAAACGTTTGGAGAGTGAGAGAAAAAAGTTTGGAGGGGTCGGCTGGATTCCGGCGAATCACGGGGGTTCCACTCATCTTTCAGTATACCTTCACTTAACTGACTATCGTGTTTACCATCGGAGTAATTCTTACTATTTTATTTCTATTGGCTAATTTGATCAGCGACTATGTGATGGCTATGATTGGGCTATATTCTTGCGTTGTTTCAACTCTGGCTTTATACTTCACCCTGGCGCTTCGCCTAAAAGTCCCTGTCTAACAACCATATGTTGTACTCACCTTGATACACATACGATATGAATCCTTTGAACTATACCCAACAGGTAATCAGGCTTGTTTGAGACGACCAGTATACTCCTCCACCGACTCAGATTGTGCCTCACTTTCTCCTCGTGGTCACTCAGTAAGATGAGACGGAGTTCCTTGCCTCGTTTCCCCTTAACGCCTAGAGAGGCATGTTACTACATATCCTAGAACATTCGAGATACAGGGAGACATCCGGTCTTTCAGGTACAAAACAAAACAAAACGCGGGGAATACAGGGGAAAGAAGGGCGACTTGTAGCCGCCAACTAGTTTCAGCATAGTCGAATATCCTCTACTAACCACCAGTCATTTGGTTACACCGAGCCCTAGTTGAGATCCCAATGATAGAGGCGTAAATAACTAGACTTATTCTGGTTACAACCCCGATCTTGCGCCTAAGGGTCCCTGTTTATTGCCTGAATCGCACCAATGAACTCCCGCAGGATCTCTCCCACTGCAGAGATGGGGTAAAGAGAACCCTGCCGATCTCTTTGACCAGGACTCTAATTAGATGCGCACCATTTATGTGGTTCATGCAGACGTTTCAAGTCTATTCATAGAAAAAATACCATCGCCTTTGTTGGGAGTATACGTCTAGGCCGCTACACCTCAATAGCCATTCTTCCAGGTGTTTCTCCATTGTCGCCCCCATTCATCCGTTTCTTTTGTCTTTGTGTTTCATCCTTCTTTTCTTGTCCTCGAGTTGATCTCGTTATATTGCATTGTTCTATTCTTTCTTGGAATATCAAGCTTTCTGCTGGACAGTCGCTTTCTTCCCTCTTTTAATATCAACCTTTCCCCCAAGTCTGCTAGCAGACACTTCCCTATACACCCTCGACATCGAGTATCTACCATCCTTAACAAGTGCAGCAGGCTGTGCCTCAGTTATGATGACTCATTTGCGTGAATCCCTGGCCGGTCCAGGGTACGTGATCCTGAACGTCATTCGCGTTCTCAACATTATCACTTTCATGGACCTTATAGCTGCTTGTGCAGTACTTCTGGCAAAGATCGACATGCTGAACAGCTTCTTTTTCTTCGAGGCCGTGACCCACGCCGTGGTGGCTCTGGTCAGCCGTAAGTATAATCTTCCTTCCGTGTTTGTGATATAAATGCTAACGTTGGCAGTCTTCATGATCATCTCGGAGCTCCCAATACTCCAAAGCTATTTCGACCACCACTGGCCGATGTTCGGACAAGAATCTAGCTTCTACTCTCTCGGTGGGATCATGATGATCCTGGGAGTTTCGACACTGGGCAACCTGAACACCAAGGCCATGACCCAGGAGAACATTGGCCTGACTTTCTGGAGAATCATCATCTCCGCCGGCGTCCTGGCAATGATAGTCAGCGTGGTGAACGTCCTGGCAGTAAGTATCGAGATGAAACCCCCAATGTATCCTTGACCCAATGCTGACCCATTTTCCCAACAGAGTTACATCTTCAGCGACCCCGAGACGGGCGTCAGTGCCCGCCAGGTGCGGGTAGACGGCGCCGTCGCACCGCAAAAGGCAATGAGCCGGACTAGCAGCCACCGCACCCTTCATTTGAGCGTGAAGCGCGAGGAAACCCTGCCCACCTATTCTCGCCAGAACCCCGTCAAGCGTGCCACCAAGCGTCTCACCGGCCGGTTCCCACTAAAGATCTCCAAGCCCATAAGCCCGACACTCGTTGAGGAGAACGATGCCGCTTCCTCCAAGTACTCTCGTGACTCTGCGGAGATCCGTCCTCCCGACCTCGCACACCACCCTGCTCTGTACTCGGGCCATATGGTTTAAGCTGGTTGACTGGTCAACCTGATCGAGGACGGGAGGACGGCGTTTGGAAGGAAAGGAAGACTCGTGCTGATTGAATCAGAAATCCTGCGTTATTGCGATGGGCGCATTCGGCGCTGTTTTATTACCCCTGGTCTTTTGCTTCGGCTTGCTCGTGTTTAATTGATTTAATTGAGACATCTTTTTTTATGCAGCATTCGTAGGATGTGTAGATAACAATGGTAGATTTGAAGGGTAAATATTCCAAAATTAGAAGAGTATGGAGTAGAAGAAGTGTAGGTTGAGAGGGCAATGTCTACGGAGTAGAAAGGACGGGACCCACGTTGACGTTTGGCCCCGACTTCAATGAAGCTACGTTGGACATTCGAACACTCTTACACCTTTCTTTCATCGAATCTCGACTCAACCTGTTAGAGATTCCGATGAAGTAAGGTCCATATCCTAGCAAATATGGCTCCAATCGCAATCTCCTGGGGAACGTAAGTCTTGAAGCTCCCCACATCCTCCGCAATCCATTCTGACCGTGAATAGCGTTAAATCAGTCCTCATATTTTTCGCCCCAATCATACTTCCACGCTTAATCACCGCCTATCGAAGCCTGCGCGTATCCATCGCGAGTCGGCCACCGCCGCGTCCTCTGCCTGCTGCGCCCGGTCGAGCGCTGAACATATTATTCGGTGGCATCGTCTTCTTCCTACTCCTAAGCCTACCTTTCAACCCACACGCGCCCGAACCCAATATATTCTCTCAGACTCGCTCTCGTCTAAACACCCCTACCGATGTCATCTTCAACCGTCTCGCCCGGCTTCGGCCAGATAACTTCCTCACTGAAGCCGACAACCTCCTCCAGTCCAAGTTCACCTCTCTGGGTGCCCGCAAGGTATACCTGACCTATGGCCCCGACGCCTTGGTCTCGTGTCAATACTGTTCCTTTGACAACCTATACACATACCTCCTCTACTACCTCCCATTCCACGTGTTGTTACCACACTTGGCGCACCTGCTGCTCCTAGGTGTGGCCACATCCGCGCCCATCGCAGGGCGCGAGGCTTCCCGCTGGCGCATCAAGTTCACCCTCGCCGGACTTGTCCTCGCAGCCATCGACATCTACATTATGGCCACCTACGACGCGGTCCAAAGTGCGCCACGCTCTGTGCGCGCGGGCCAAACACCGCCCTCCGGCATCTACAACCATATTACGCTCCTGCGCCCGCTGGCCTTTGTAATCTGCGATGTGATCTGCTCGGTTGTGCTCTGGCTCTCCGCGACTAACCGGTTCTTTTTCAAGCCGCCCTCGACCGTCGAGCAGATTGACGAGGCAGTGTCGATGGCCGTGCAAACGCTCATGGGCGCAAACTCGAAACTCCATGCCGCGAGCGTTACCCGCAATGCGGTGGTACGGGATTCGACTTTGAAGAATCGCGACGATTTGTATTGGCGGACTATGGTGGCTTCCGAGAACCCCACTCAAGGGCCTGGAGAAGGTGGGGAGCAGATCCTCAACAATATATGGGAGGAGGAAGAAGTTGCTAGGGCTATGTCGCGGGCGATGGCCGGACATGGTGGAATTGATTTGGCTCAATTGGGAGTCAATGCCAATGATTTTGTGCGACACGTTACAGAGGGATTAGAATGAATATCTGTACTCCGTATCTAATATAATCGTACAGCGTATATGTAGATGTCATTATCCCATTTCTCATCTCCCCTGCCAAGTGTCAATAAATAGACCGCAAATGGTAAACTGTTGACACCAACATCTATACTCCCAGAATGCAACAAAAATCAAATCTCCAAATCTCATTCCAATCTCAGCTCGACAATTTACGTGCATGCACTTCCATCCAATCAACAATCTCGACACTCAACATTTAACGAGGCGGTGAGTGGATGATCGTGAAGAGATGAAACGAAATCACCACGTTCCCCCTCTATTCCCTCTCCTACAAAAAACATTTTCTTACACTCGCAAGCTGTTGCTTTTCCTGTTCCTGGTTGAACGAGTCAAGTCAAGAAGTAAATAAGGGCTTAGATGAGGCAGGTCCCACATCTATTTCAGCATTGATCATTTTGGCTTGATTCCCCGTTCTCGACTCCCCGACTCCCCCGACTCCCGGCCCTCTTCTCCCTCGGTGGAATTTCGAATCTCCTCCACACTATTGGTGCTCTCTCCACCATGGCAGACACAATTGTGCCGTCGAAACAAATATCAGAGCTGAAGGGACGCAATGCCTACGTTTCCTCTCCTAGTGGTTTACGACCGGCCAAGGAGACCACGTTCCGTGAATGGGTGGTCACCAACCAGATCGGTATGAAGAAACACCCCGGTTTTTGAACTTACATGAAAATGAAGGAAATCAAAGCTGCACAGAGTCGCTGCGCTTTTAATTAAATCCCAGCACATGCGAAATCTAATACGAGTACCGCTAACACTAATTGCTTCTCTACAGGCATCTCGTTGACCACTCTGTCTATGTTGCTGGCTCTTCATAACCTCTACCCTTCACTCCGCCCATATACCCAGCCATTCTTCCAATTGTCCTATTACAACGAATCCTCGGACTCCTACGTCCAGGGCTGGGACGATGTTTACTTCGTCATCAGTGCGGCTATCGCACTTACCGGTATCCGCGCTATCGCCATTGAATGGTGCATGCAACCATTGGCCCGCGCCTGTGGTTTGAAGCGCAAACAGTCGGTTCGCATCGCTGAGCAGGGCTGGCAAGCTATGTACTATTCGTTCATCTGGGGAGTTGGATTGGTGCGTTCTGCCCGAGATACCTACCCGGGAATATATAACTAACCGCTGGTTCGACCTTACAGTATCTCTGGAAGACGTCATACTACTGGGGCGATTTCGCCGCCATGTGGTCGCAGTGGCCCGCCCGTCCTTTGTCGGGCTTGATGAAGTGGTATCTTCTCGTTGAACTGGCATTCCTCGTGCAGCAGATCTTCGTGATCCACGTGGAAGAGAGACGGAAGGACCATGTTCAGATGCTTTCCCACCACATTATTACCTCTGTTCTCCTGAGCTCTGCCTACATCTACGCTATGTACAATGTGTCCAATGTAGTGCTATGTCTCATGGATATTGTGGACTTCTTGTTACCGGTTCGTCAAGTACTATTCGTCAAGCACTGAACAGCTACTAATACCTCCACAGTTTGCGAAGATCCTCAAATACTCCAAGTTTGAAACAGCGTGCAATGTTGGCTTTGGCCTCTTCATGGGTACATGGTTAATTACCCGACACATCATCTACCCCATGGTGTGCTGGTCCGTTTATTATGATCTTCCCCGCCAACTTACCTATGGCTGCTACACCGGTTCGACAAGCGAGTTCATCTCAACAGAGGCACCGAATGCCTTCGCGTACATGTTTGCTCCATACTTCAGTTTGGACAACCCCATCTGCTTCAACCCCGCGCTCAAGTGGATTTTCTTATCATTCCTGTTGTTCCTTGAGGGACTGTCTATTTTATGGTTCAGCATGATTGTCCGTGTTGCTTACGGTGTGATTTGCGGCGGTAACGCCGAAGACACCCGCAGTGACGAGGAAGACGAAGCGGAAGTTGAAGACCAGCCCACATCTCACGTCCCAGCGCACTTGACTGCCAGAGACGGTGCCCCTACCGACGCACTCGAGACCGGAAACGCCCCGGGCTTGGGTCGTCGGCGGTCCAACGGCACTGCCTCGGTGCGGGCGCGCGGCCGTGGTCGTGTTCCTTTCGATCCGAGTGATCGGAAGGCTCTCTTAGGTCGGATTGGATGTGAAAAGCCTACGTAAATGCCGGCTTTCCATTTATGATTTTCCTTTGACCAAAATTTGATGACTCCCATACGAGTTGCTCCATAGCATGCCATGCCTTTGTCACATACCCCGTGCCGTGATGTCCATTTCCGGGTGTCGGTGCTGGCCATGCAATGGAGTCCCGAATTACGATGAACTGCGATTTCCAAGGTTAGTTTGCGGCACATCCTTCAGTCTGCTTGCCGGGTCTTATATCCACTTTGTTTTTGTTTTTTGATTTCTTATTCATACTCATTGTCATGTCGCCATTTGCCGGCTGGTGTCGGGGGGAAGGGGGGTTGGGGGGTTGGGGGGTTTCCTGCTGCGCTTTTGTTGCCGTGATGATCTCTACGGACTTGGAGTTTCGCTCTAGAGATCCACACAATAATAACCAATGGAAGCATTTGGCCTTGTACATGTATTATAGTGCCCTGTCCGGTACGGACTTATAGATTTCCCCTAGAGTGAATACGGAATCTAGCGTTGCCTTGAACAACCCTAATCCGCCCATCACCTTCACCCAACCCACCACCTAGTATATAGCAATCTCGCCTAGTGAACATAGTCCCTAAGCGGCGGCTCCTCACTCCCACTATACCCATACAACAACACATCAAGCACCCCAACCACATCCGACACAGCCTCCATGCCCAAAAAGTCATCCACATCCAAACCAGGCGCAAGCGACTCACCACAAACAGCATCAAGATCAATCCTCTCCAACTTCCCCGGCCCATCATGAACCAAAGCATCAACAAACAAAGCATACGCCAACGGATTAAGCAACAAAGACGAATGCGAATACAAACCGCCAGCAGCACGCCCCGCACAAGCAACCTGCACCTGCACATTCGACACGCCCACCCCACGCACATCCGCCAACACCGCAGAAGCCCACCCCCCACTCTGCGGTTGCACAATGGCGTCATGCCCAGAGTACACGCTGGTCGTCGGCACAAACGCCGAATCCCCATCCCCACCCCGCAGAGCCCGAATAAACCGCGCATCATACCCCTGCTGCTGCACGGCGGGCGTACAAAACGGCTCCGCGAGCACGCACAGCGTCGCAACAAGCGTCCCGTGGAAATCACCACTGACAGCCATGAAATCGCTGACCGCGGCCCGTGTCGACGGCCAGTATTTCAGCGCCCATTGCACGTCTACGCTGCCTTGTGACCAGCTCAGTACCCCGATGGAACGCTCCGAGAGTCCGGAGATGTAGTTTATCGCGTAGGCGACGTACTCGGCGTTGCTTTGGATGTCGCCTAGCGAGGTGTCTGGGATGTTGACCCATACTGGGTCTGTGTGGGGGTTTGCGGCGAAGAGCTTCGCGTAGTTGAAGTAGTAGGTGCTGCCGGCTGGGTCGGCGGTCCCGGGGACTAGCAGGACGGGTATTTTGCTGTTCTTGCCGTAGGAGAACGTTGTCGGGATGTAAATTGCGCTGCGGAGGGTGTCTTCGGGGATGTCGTAGGGTGCGTCCCCGAAGGATCTTGTTGGGTGGATTCGTGGACTAGGGGTTTTTGTGTTGTTGTTGGCTATAGAGTTTATTTCGTGGTTTGTTATGCCGTCTATTATGTCGAGGATGGTTGTTGGGACTAGACCTAGGGATACTGTGTCGATGGCATTCTGGAGAATTGTTTGGTTGTTGTGTGGAATTGAGGCGAGGACCGAGAGGCCTTCTCCGATTGTTGAGACGGGCTTGATTTTGCCTGTTGCTATTTCTGATATCTTGGCTTCGAGCTCAGATAGCTTTTGGTATATTTCCGTGCTAAAGGGAGCATGACTTGCGGATGTGTTGGATAGTCTGTTAAATATATCTGGGACATCCTGGGCTTCTTTGGATGTGTATGAAGGCACTGGGCTGCCGAGTGATGCTGTTATAAAGAGGAAAAACCGAAACACTTGGTAGCAGCGCATTGTGATGCCTAGCGCCTCGATTAGGGCTGATTATCCACCCGCGGGGGTGATCCGGTGAATGCTGACATTTTATACAAGAGATATTCCATCGGAGCTCAATCAACATCACTTTCGCACTATATCCGATGGCTTATTAGATCTGAGTTTTTATTTCAGCGCCAGATACACGTCTATGTATATCGGATTCCACTCTTCATATTTCGGGGACATGCAAAAGTACCGTCGATCTTTTGAATATTTGGCATGGAAAACTCTAAAGTGTATAGAGGTAAGGCCCGTCTGATGCTTGATCGTTCCCATAACGTCCGAGCACCGGAGTTTCTTCTGTGTCTGTGTATCCCGAGATATATAAATCAGCCCGTGGAGGGTCTGCTGCTACCTCCTTCTGAAGAATAAGATCGACAGTCAACACCGAGCCATGACGCAATGGATTATGGCCAAGAGGGGCCTATGTTCACCGCAATTGCATTTCAAGCCGGGAATCATTCCTAATCTGTTGTGTGTTGCAATTTCACATGTCTCCACCGAAAAAAAGTACAAAAGCAACTTCGTCCATGCGAAACTCTCGAGTACGCTCATCTGCCAGAGCAGTAGCTAGAAGGTGGCCATATTCATCCTGTCAAGCTGATAGTTATGATTCTTATTGCTTATATTGTTCTGCTTCCCTTGGAATCTCTTCGTTCCTTCAGTTTAGAAAAAGCGTTTGGGTTAATCGTTGTCCGAGGGCTGAGTGTCCAAGCGAAGAGAACGTGGACTAACTTCAGTTTGAATTCAAAACGAAGAACACTGAATTAAATTTTGTATTAACATATCAATCATCCAGGACCATGCACGCGACTACCATAGACGCGAACATGCCTCCTGTGGGGGTATATAAATCCCGGGGTCTATTTCCAAGATCCCGGCCTCGAGCTTCCAGCTGACAACTTTTGTCCCACATGTTTTGTAAATCAACAGCGGATTGCAACTGAGTTGCAAGATATTCCTGCAACTCAGGCACGGGTCGTAACGAGTAAGGGGCTTCTTTTAAACGCTGAATCTCATGGATGGTTGACGCTAGCATAGTATATTTTTGGAAATTGATGAGCCCTTCCGGCGTCATGGCTGGGTTTCCATCTTCGATGAATGTCAAGTCTTTCAAGAACAATCCTGTTGAATGGTTAATAATCGGCAATTTCAACGGTTCACGAGAGAACTGACCAAGGAAAGGCACGCACGGTGCCATTGCAACCCGTAACGTGTCACGGTAGGCCTGGTAATTGTGTGCGCTGCATGTCATAGCTTGCAGGGGCCTTAGTGTATTGCAACTACGTTCGGTAACCATTGCCCACGTGCGGGCAAGCCGGTAGATGGGTGCGCTTTCCATGCCTGCCAGGATAGAGATTACCGCTGAGTAATTACGGAGTTGATGACATGTCTGGAATAGAAAATTAGCATATTGGAATAATTACAAGGGTCAGGCTAGAGATTACAACGTACGTTGGCCACATTGACCAAATGCCCTATCACTTGGGTCCGCTTTTTGACATCCGATTCTGCGAGTATTAGGGTGCCGACCCAATTAGAGAGCTGATTGGAATACCGAATCAAGGCTCTGATGTTTGGAGCTAGCTCGGGCGTATTGGAGCTGTCCTTCATTTGCCAGTTTTTGTTTAGCAATTCATCTCGTTGTACTTTGCCGAACATATGTGCTTCCATGATAGTCAGCTGCCGCGCAATTTCCGTTGCATCGATTTTGAGGAATTGGAGCTTGTTTAATTTGCGTGGTAGAATAGGTTTTGGTGGATTGGATATTGATGATAGCGATCTTTTGTGGCACTCGAGACCCGCAAGTCGGCGCTGAATGACTGTGAGAAGTTGTTGTACGGCGCTTGCCTCGGTGGCATCCGTGGCGCGCTTGGCGAATGACTGCAGTATTCGCAAATTTCGATCTGTATCAATGTCTTTTGGCTCAGACCAGAAATGCTCGAGCCATTGCTTCAGAACATTTATCACACGCAATCGTATCAGCGGCTTTATCTGAGTCGTCCATTCTGTCGTCTCGGTGGCGTTTAATTTTGGAGGCGAGCAGTCGAATCGATCGATGAGGAGCTCAATAAGCTCTGCTGCAGCGGTAAAATACTTATAAGTGGCGAGGAATACCCGGTTGAAGGCACCGTCGAGCTTGTCGTGGTGCGTCAGATTTTCCACCAGCGCTGCGAGGGTTCCGGCCCTAACAACCTCCACGCTGCCCTGGTATTGGTAGACGAGTTTCTCCGGAGATGTGATGTCGTGAGATCCCGAGTCCCTCCGCTCTTTTGTCTCTGTCTGATCCATCGCGACGGGAAAGCCATGGAAGGATTTAAATCAGGTGTCATTCGAACCGCACGGTCGCTGTGGTCACATGGCATTGTGTCTGAACTGCGGTCGAGGCGAGACCGAGCGATTGATAATGTTTGGGTAGTGGGGTACTCCCAGTGCTAACGAGGCATCCACTTATAGTACTCGGTAGCTCTCACGTTAATTTCTGGTCCTGCGAAAAACCCCGAACCATCATCCGACCTCGGATACGATCAGCAACCGATCATCGGAATTTTGCTTAACCGCCCCTGCCACGGACCGCCGCTAACCGCTTTGGGCCACGATCGGAGAGTTTTGAGTTATCTGATCCGAAACTTACTGAGAACCTTGGACGCGACATGTTTATTGGTAGGGAGGGGATCCGCCGCGTCATTTATTTCTCTCTCGTGCACGCGGTCGGAGCCCACATGTGGAACTTTTCAAGGCTGAGGCCGTTTAATTGTTCACGGGATTTATTTGTTCCCGACTACTATAGCAAAAGGTGGTGGGTATCATTCAGGGTCGCGTAAAATTATTATCTATACAAGTTCTAAAAGACCGTACCCCTGACCTGCCGCTTTTTCTTCAGATTGATATCCTGCATCAAGAATGTCCAAGGAATCGCCAGAACTATAATGCCAGTCCCGACAGAAAGTAGTCGAAGTTCGGCATAGGCGTAGGCCTTTTGAATAGCAAACCGAGTGGCGGATCCGACTGGATAGCTCAGTTGCGTGACGAGATCCTCGTAAATGTTGTTCAAATTTGATAATTCCGATTCCGGGAGGTATCGAAGAAGGGCTTTCAGGTATGTGTTTTGCCAGATGACGGTACTGATGGTAAGACCCGCACTATCGCCAATAGTGCCAACCACATTTAGCACGGCGAGTGCTGTAGCGACATGTTGGTGGTCGACAGCCGCCAGGATAGCAAGCTGCTCAACAAGGATGAATGTTGCACCACCGATAGCGAGGAAGATTTGGCACATCACCTGGTAGCCAACATTTACATTAGGCTGGCGGAAGTATATCATTAAGCCCTGTGCCAACATATAGAGCGGAATTGCAATATACAAAGTCCACTTGTAGCGGCCAATTCTCCGGATTAGCCAACCAGTGGCTAGTAACAGCACACCAGAGACCATGTCGAAGATATTGACGATATAGTTGGAAGTGGTAATGGAAAGGTTATTGTTGACTTGCAGCCAGGACGTGAAGTAGTAGCTCCAGCAATAGTTCGACAGCTGATAGGTTGCGTCCAGGAGTACTGCACCGATAATAGTGCGGTTGGTAAGAAGTCGCCATTCGAAAAGAGGCACTGGAGCCAACCACCTCTCCCAAATAGCGAAGAAGAAAAGTGTGCAGAACCCGACGACAAGCATGGCAATAATGTAGCCAGAAGCCCACTCATCGGGGGCGTAATGGGCGAGGTCGAAGGGAAGCTCAAATAACACAAGACCAGCAGTGAACAGGAAGACTCCAAAGACTAGTACTCTCATTAGAATTTGCGATCTCACGTAGAGGATAGGAATCGACAAGTAGAGAACTTACGATCAAACTCGACAGTCCAATGCTGGATGCTTTCGAATACCGTGCGGCCACTTGGTCTCTTGATCCGGTAGCCTTCTTTCTCCGCCTTGTGCAGGTTGTACTTCAGCATAATGTATAGCGGGGCCGCCACTACAGGAACGACGATTGCCCAGCAGCCAAAGCCCCATTTCCAAGAAATCTTGTAGTAGAATTCGTCCGCCACCTTGGGTCCCGCAAATGCCGTGATAATGTATGGGGAGGAAGTGAACGCATACGCGAAAGCACGGTTTCTCAGTGTTGAGACGTCAGCTGTCATAACGTCTATTGCGTATTCCATACCGTAGAAACCGGTATAGTAGAAGACCTTATATGCCCGTCAGCATCCGTAATAAACACCATGTCATCGTTAGAACTCACGTTGGCGGCGCAGTAGATCTCAAAGGTATTGCAGGTAGCCATGAGAACCAAGCCGATGGTTAAACATATAACCATCAAAAGAAACCCTTCCGCTCGACCCCATACATCCATCATTTTTGCGACAGGTAGGTAGGTGGCAGCTGCAAAGACATCACCCAGAGCTGTGGGAACCGCGGATAGCGAGTGTGCTTTGAATGAACTTGTCACATAGGGATTCAGAGTAACGGTAATTGTAGATTGAAATGCATTCGCGAAATAAAGGAACCAGATGCTATTGGGGCCCTGATATTAGCGTATGCCCGAACATTTGTCAATGGTATCGGATACGCGGCACAAAATAATACAGGGAAACATACTTGATGAAGACTGCGATCAATGTACCTCTCGACCAGGTCATGGTCACGGCCTCGACGTCTTGAACACCATGCTGCGCACTCCCATCCGGTATCTCCTCGAGTGCCACAGAACTGGTGGGACTCCGAGTGCCATCTTTACGATCACCGATCGTGTTCTGTTGTGCGAAGGAGTCATTTTCATTGTCTTCGGTTGACAGCCGGCGGAACACGATACGTGCTCTGCGGATTAAAGGGCGAACACCCATAATGGTTGACTTTAGAAGTCCAAAGTTGATCAGGTTGCACTACACGTGAAACAGTAGGGAATCATTGCCCTTATAGTAAACAAGCACCGAAGTCGGGTTTCGTATTTTTACGGACTAGCTGGAAGCCAACCAGTCAAGTACTCTATTCTGCAGGGGTTGTGGAGATTCAATTGGATCATCCCCGAGCCCTCTCCACTGGCGCTTAACAGAAATTCAATAAAAAGAAAAAGATAAGATCTTTCGTGCTCGTGCGTGCGTTCGTGGGCCGACCCACGCCACCTTTCCCTCGTCGATCGGAAATTGCACATCGTGCACCGAGTACCGAGTATCCACTGCTGAATTCTTTCGATCCTATCACAAATAGTTGCATGATTAATGCAAAGGCAGGAAAACCTAAATCGGGGAAATTCAAGGCACTTTATGTCTAAGCGAGGACTTTTTCACGTAACAGTTTCGCCCCCAACCGCAATATGTACCTCGCTTCTCTAGACTCTCCGCCAAGAGTTGACTAGGCGTATAGAGCTGATGAAATTATGCCATTCTATGAAGGCATTGGCTGAATTGTGCGTACCTGAGCGTGGAATATCGCATCGTTTATTTTGCCAATCCTTGTGCGATTTCTTCCACAAGTACCAGCCAATTAGCTAGAGTGTTGACTCTGTTGCTCCCAAGGTATAGTTTTCAAAAGGTTCAGTCACGAGGACAGATGACGAACATTGCCCAAGCTAGTCAACAAAGCTATAGAGTCATGGACCTATGTATGCGCATTCACGGTCCATATGTGACCATGTTCAGCTCCTAGCCGGCTTCCCGATGATATCTTCCCTTTGTTTGAAAAGCAGACATGAATATCGAAACAGCACTCTGAGGGCAAGGAAGAGCTTGAGAAATTAGCTTTCATCATATCCCATATAGGACCAAGTTATGTTATGGCTGTGAACTATCATACGTTCTTCCTGAATCTTGGAGTCCCGCCAGCCTCCGGCGGACACGCAAAATGGGAGGAGTCAAAGGGAACGGCGAATTGCAGGCCGAAATGCCTTTCCGCAATGTCCTGAAGGGCATCAGTCCATCGCACTGTCCGTGTGGTACGTCCTCATAACCTTAACGGTACTATTGTCGTACGTGTGTTCATATCGGAGGACCGTTATCGGCTCACGTCAAGTATAGCGTTCAGTAGCGGGTTGCAGATGAGGATGTCGCATAATAAATCTTGGGCCACAACAACAATACCGAAGGCACTTAGAAATGAGGTACCAACGTCTCCCATACGTGCTCCTACTCATAGTACCTGTAAGTCCTGCTTCTTGAGAGGCCAATAGCTCGTCCCGTTTCATCGAGCCAGCGAGCTGTATGTCTGCAAACTTTCAAATCTCCTCAGAATTCAATATTGGAAAGGCACCAATACTTGGAGAGTATCGAAAGGCTTAAACATGGTATCACACGTACTTTGACCATCCTTGGAGATGGATTAGGTTGTGGTTAGAATAGGACAGGGCGGCAGGGAGAGTAGTTGAAGGAACCTGTAAAGGTGGAAAGAGAAAGCAAAGCATGGGAAATGCATTAACTACAAGGAATTCAAGACCTCGAGTGGCCTTCGTGGTAGAGGCCCAAGTAAGAGAGGCTTTGCGGTGGTTACCGTATGTGACTCGGGTGTTTATGGATAGAGGAAGGAACGCCGGATTCCACCAAATAGCTATTATATGTACTTTTTTAGACTATCTGCATCAAATGAACCAATAACACTTAGTTTATATGGACGAATAGATCCTATGCTCAAAAGTCAAGAGGCACGTATTGGTATACCATCCGAGAAGCATCTCCAGTCAGACCACGGTCGTTCCTGGAAAACCCCAGAAAGACTTGATCAGGGCCCCGGTTCCACTTCGCGATATCTGCCTCTGTAGTTCCAGGAGGAAACCCATCTATTGGCCGAAAAGCGGAAATGGGTCCAATGCGCACCTCCTCTGGGATAAACAATGCTGTTGGTATTCTCGGCCCCATGTCCGCATGAGCACAATATGAGCTTGCGGCAAGCTCAGGGCTGTGAACTGGCCCGTTTGAGGACTCCAGTGCACTGGATTTGGGTGGATGATGGGCTGCATTCATTCCCATTGCATGTGATTCTTCTAGCTCCATGATTATTTGGCCCACGGCGGCCCATATGTAGCACTGGTAAAAACCTTGCACTGAGGGTGCTTCACGGAGTAGAGCCAGTGCCGCACGTCGGGTACGCGGTTCACGGCATCGAAGACTTGTGAACCAAAGCGGAAGACCGATATTAATGTCAAATGTAAATGGTGGTTGGGTGCCGTCTGATCGTACCGAGGCTTTAGGGGCAATGGCAGATTGTTCAACGATATTTTGGAAGTTTGGTAGATAAGTGTCGAATTGCATCAATGACGAGGATGTGCAGGTCTCGAGCATGACATGTAACATTTCATGATAACTCAACAAAAGGGCACTAATACCAATCTCTTGCGGCGAGAAAAGGTCTTTGGCGCGGAGACTTGTCTTCAACTTATCAAAGGCAGTATGCCAGTTCTTCAGTCTGCTGGCCAGACTGGATAGTATAGTATTAAATTCTCCGGGAAGATGATAGACATGAGCCTGGAGTAAGTGCTTGGTGCATGTTGCTTCGAAGAGAGGGATCTCTACAGCTAATAGCCCGATCGCCTCCCGAGCAGATTTGAGTGAGTCAAACCGTTCCGTTGAGAAATGTTCGGTGTCTTGTAGTAAAGCGGTCACTGGAGCCCCACGGACGGCGAGAGCAAATGTTCCCAAACGGATGAAGACCGGGATAATAGTATCCTCCAACAACGAAGCTTTACTCGCAGCACCAGATGCTATTTGGGAACGCAAAGCGGTAATGAGCTGCACACCTTGACGATAAAGCTGCAATGCCCCGTCTGCGTTTCCCTGGATGGCCTCAATGCAGATGAAAAGCACACAGCTGATCAGTCCGACAAAGAGGTCTATGCTACCCTGCTCAATGCGCTGGCGAACGGCAGATACCGAGCGTGAGTACCAACCCAAGGCATCTGGGTTGTTTTTAGCGAGAGAAATAGGATTATCACGGCGTTGTAGCATGGGTCCTGAGAATTGTTGGGGACACTCGAATAGGGCACTAATGGTGATGATGGCATCCCAAACAGCAGGTTCATAGCGGCAAACTTGTGGGACGGCAGTGCGCCAGAAATCAACATCCAATCCACCACCAATGGAGGAGGCAGCACATTCGAAATAATATGCAAATGCACGTCGCTCTCGCCACACCGTATTGGTGTTTGCTGATAATGACAATGGGTTGACGATGAGCGAAATTGTGGAAGAAGGCTGTATGCCTTCAAAGTCACACTTGCGACCTGTACTGGTACATCGAACACAGCTAGGCTTTTCTTCGCCGCATTTGACTCGTCGAATTCTACGACACGCTCAATATCAAACTCTGTCTATGGAAAAGGAAGCAAGCACCTACTTGCAAGTCTTGCATCCTAGCCTTGACCTCGGAAGGACTCTTAAACGACGCGTTGAATGATCTGAGGGAACAGACATGTTGTAGCATTCTAGATTCGGCTTGCGCCAACATATCTCAACGCGCATAATGATCAAGTGGGCCATTGTCACGTGCCTGATCACGAGATCATGGTCGGCCTGATTCAGTCGAGCATTTCCGGGAAATCGTGAGAATGAGGTCGGGATCAGAGGGGAATGAGATGGGGGAAAGAGAGCTGACTAGGTTTGTCTAGGGCGGAAGTCACGCCTTTCGCCTTTTGGAAGGAGCAGGACTTGATTGAGAGTCATGACAGTCATTGATTATTTTGTTTTGTTGTGATATATACACCTAGCTAGGGATATGGGTATTAGTGGGCTTCCGTGAGCTAGGTCCATTTCTCGGACACAGGCAACTTATCACGACCATGAAGTCGCCCAGCTTATCCAATTTGTGACCACTATGCACAAGATATCATTGCGTCCTTGTCCCAATAATCTGCGGGCGATGGTTATTTGCAAGAGGTGTGCCATAGTCAGTAGTCGGGTAGGCGGGAATGAGGTCCATCTCTAGAATTCGGGAACGTTTGAAAGTGGATGTGTAGTGAAGACAAGCTAGGTCGGCTCTCAACCAGTATTATCTCTGAGCCTGGCAAGTGCTGCCGCGATACCTTCACTCATCTCTTCGCTTGGTTGATTTTCAGCCTGAGGCTCAGTAGACTGTGCAGCGTGCGCAGCTGCTGTTTTCCTGCTTTCCGCTAAAACCTCACGAAGAATCGCCTCTTCTTCATCCTCTTCATCGATATCCTGATCGTTTTTGTCATCCACATTCACGGCTGGCAGTCGAGCCCGAGGTTTTATGGCAGGAGCAGAAGCCCGCTTCGCACTCTCAACTCTGAAGTCTTCTCGGACTGCATGACACCATTGTTGGACCTTTTTCTCTCCCCACCCCGGTACAGCGCTGATCTGCTCCGGCTGTGCATTTATGGCATTTTGTAAACTTCCGAAGGTGGAGATCAGACTCGCGGTATCGGACTTGTTGATACTTCTGGGTACTGTGACAAACTCCACCAGCGATTCTTTATATGATTGAGCCTGTTTCGCTCGAATGGCGGTGGGCTGTGCATTCTCTGAGGACTTGTAAAGCTCAAGATAATGCGCAGCCTCTGGTGCGGACCAACACAATATCAAGGTCAGATTGTTGATGATGGATGTTTTGGACAACTCTCGGAGATTGTCTTCATGGTTTGGTATGTCGACCATCACCAGTACGAGGCGGAGATTGTATTTGCCTGCTAATTGTTTCACTCGGGCGTAGATGTATTCGGGGTGTAGGCGATGGTATTTCAAGGAGAGAAACATTGCGCACGTTGTGGTGCCTACCACATAATCTGCGGGAATATCGGCATACTCCCATGGTACGAGCTTTATATGGGACAGGATCGGGTTGCCCTTTTGTCGCGCGGACACCAGAATTGCGGAAGTAATAGGACGGTTGGTAAGGGCTTGGGGTTTCAACTGTTGAACTTTCGGCCTTGACGATTCACCTGGAGCAGGGGAGTCCAGAGTCGCGGGAGTACTAGGGCGGTTGGCAAGGGCTTGAGGTTTGAGCTGTTGAACTTTCGGTCTTGAAGATGCACTCGGAGCAGGGGAGTCTAAAGGGCGAGAGGATATACCACTCTTCGGGCGCGAGGGATCCATCGTGTGTTGTTCCAAAAGGCAGAGCGATCAATTGAGAGGTGATAAGTCGATAAAGCTATTGCTTATCTGGATGGGACCCACACCGCCCAGGCCAATCTGCCTCGCTTTTTTCTGCCGCTAATTTTTTTGTTCTTCCCAGACCGCAGAAAAAAATCGCAGTCGCAAGAAAGCCACCATGGTTGAATTACACAAGAAACGACGTCTCTCGGACGCCGAAAGCACCGAAATCAAAGTCGAAGCCACTACACCCGCCGCCGAGGCCGCGTCCGCACAGAACAAGAGAACTCTTTTCGTCCGCTCACTACCCACCTCAGCCACGACAGAAAGCCTCGCAGAATATTTCTCGCAATCCTACATTATCAAACACGCTGTTGTTGTCTGCGACAAAGAGACAAAGGTATCCAAGGGATTCGGTTTTGTTACATTCGCCGATGTCGAGGATGCGGAGAGTGCTCTGAAAGAACTCAATGGGTCCAAGTTTGACGGGAAAATCATTCGCGTCGACTATGCCGAGTCTCGTAAGCGTGAGATCGATGAGAAGGTTGGACGCAGTGTCCCCACTGCTGCATCCCGCGAATCCAAGAAGCAGAAGGAAGAAGAGAGAGGGCAGGGTCTGCCACCCAAGCTGATTGTTCGCAATCTGCCGTGGAGTATCAAGGAGCCCGAGGATCTGAATGTCCTGTTCCGCAGCTTTGGAAAAGTCAAGTTTGCTACTCTCCCCAAGAGGAATGGCAAACTTGCTGGTTTTGGTTTCGTTACCATGCGTGGCAGGAAAAACGCCGAGAAAGCGCTCCAGATGATCAACGGAAAGGAGATCGATGGACGCCAACTTGCTGTCGATTGGGCTGTTGAGAAGGACGTTTGGGAAACTACCAAGAAGGAAGAAGACGACGAGGAGGAGGAGGAGGAGCTGAAGGAAGAGAAGGAGTCTGATGATGTTGAGATGAAAGATGCCGAGGGTATTCTGGAAGAGCCCTCAGACGACGAAACCTCTTCCGACGAAGATGACGAAGACGAAGAGGACAATGACCTGGATGAGCTGGACGACTTGGACGATGATGATGAGGCAGACGAGGAGGATGACCGAAATGCCACTACAGTCTTCATTCGCAACCTCCCCTTCACCGCTACAGATCAGGCCCTCTACGACCACTTCAAAACTCACTTTGGCCCGCTACGATATGCACGTGTAGTCTTGGATTACGAGACCGAGCGCCCTCGAGGCACTGGATTTGTCTGCTTCTGGAAGCCGGAGGACGCCAACACATGCGTTCGTGAAGCCCCCCGGGGAGCCGAAGCTATGGCCCCGAACAAGGACAAGCCTAAGTCAAACACCGCTATGAAGCACTCCGTCCTCCAAGATGAAAACTCCGACCCAAGCGGCCGCTACACCCTAGAAGGCCGCGTCCTACAAGTCGCGCGAGCCGTGAGCAAGGGTCAAGCCGCCAAGCTGGAAGAAGAGGGAGTATCACGCCGTATGGTCCGCGACACAGACAAGCGCCGCCTATACCTCCTCAACGAGGGTACGATCCCCTCCAACTCCCCGCTGTACAAGAAGCTTTCTCCCTCCGAAATCAAGATGCGCGAGGACAGCTACAAGCAGCGCGAGACCTTCATCAAGAAGAACCCCGCTCTCCACCTCAGTCTCACCCGTCTCGCCATCCGTAACCTCCCCCGCCACATCAACTCCAAGGACCTGAAGCAGCTTGCTCGAGAGTCCGTCGTCGAATTCGCCAAGGATGTCAAGGCAGGCGCACGTCAACCGCTTTCAAAAGAGGAGCAGCAGCGATCCCGCGATACGATGAAGGAGCTAGAGCAGCTACGCAAACAAAAGAAGATGGGTATTGTGCGTCAAGCCAAGGTCGTCTTCGAGACTCGCGAGGGTACCAAGGTCTCCGAGAAGACCGGTGGTGGTCGCAGTCGTGGCTACGGATTCATCGAGTTCTTCACTCACCGTCATGCGCTCATGAGTTTGCGCTGGCTGAACTGCCACTCCATGGCAGTCCCTCCTTCTGCTCAAGCTCCCGATGACCGGGACAAGAAGAAGAGCCTTGTTGTTGAGTTTGCTATCGAGAATGCCCAGGTCGTTAAGCGCCGTAATGAGCTGCAAGCTAAATCCCGCGAGCCCAGGCCCAAGCGCTCGGATGATGCCGAGGACGGAGAGAGAGGTCAGAAGAGGAAGCGCTCCGATACTCGTGGTGGTAAAGGAAAGGATGGACGAGGTGGCCGAGATGGCCGAGATGGTCGAGATGCCAAGCGTGGCAAGACTGGAAATGGAAATGCAAAGGGCCCCAAAGATGAAAAGGTGGTGAATGAAGAGGAGGACAAGGCCGCTAAGCGCAACCGCATTATTGGACAGAAGCGCATGAAGCGGAAGTCCCGCAAGGGGAATTAAAGGCCCGAAAATGTTACATGTTTACTTTTTTAATGTATAGGCATTACTTATCCCAGCAGTCAGAGGGAAGAACTGTTCTTTTGTACCTACGCGATACCACCAATTTCGAAAATGAAAAGCATGGATTTATCACACTGGGTATATAATGTCGTACATTCTATCCATGTAAAGGCAGCCGCTTAATGGTAATGTAGCCCTTAAGTATTCTTGGCGCCTTCAACTTTGCCAACAATGTTATACCGCTTGCTGAAGAAAGTGTACCACTCATCCAAGACGGTCTTGTCCTTGTCCGGCAGGTCGTACCACTCAGGTACACAGTCTTCGGGCTTGAGAGAAGATAGGGCAAGAGCACGGGAGGCGTCCTTGCCAGCGAAGACTAAGGAAAAAGAACAGTCAGTTTGATTGTTCATTATAGTGATGGGATAGATGCTGTACTCACCGCGATATGAACCCGAGGCACCATAAGCCGAATTCCGGCTTACATCAAAGACAACACCCTTAATGGCGACCAGAGTCGGGCGGTTAGGGTCGGAACCTACAGTGAGATAGACATTAGCAAATGATCCTTGAGCTGGGCGCATTGAAAATAAGGAATTGCCGGGTGTTGTGATCTGTGAGGGATAATCTTCTCGTACCGTCGCATTTGGCCAGTTCCTCGATGGAAATGGGGTCGTCCTTGGGCGGGTCCAGCTGGACTGCTACTTTGGGTGCGAAACGCTTAGATTCTCCTTCTTGATCGGTCATTGTGATTGTTGGAGGTGAGGTCGAGGGGGAAAAACAATATTGGGGTTTGGCGGGGTTTGCCGAGGTCGGTACATAGCCGCTTCGGGGCTGCTTACTGTGGACTATCTGATTGATCGGTTAATCTATTTAAGCTATTCTTATTTTGTTGAAGCCTATGTTGTATATAGATTTAGAGGATTCGATTTATTTTCTATATACGGAGTACTCTGGGTAGACTATATCGTTAATCTTTGACATTTCCGTATATAATGTACCTCGGCCTCAAGGACAATATATCCTCTCCAGGTTTGACCCAATCGTAGAATCTGCAATGATAAGAACGTGATCAATTGCTTATTCGGGTAGATTGATACCTGCACATGCATATAAACAGAAAGCTTCTCTCTTCTTGCCCTAATCTGGTTAGCACTTGTGAAGAGTGCTGATATGGGAATTCTCTCATGACGTCAAGGTATACACAACATCAACTGTTAGACTGCTTCCTTGACATAACTATCACTTAATAACACGGCAGAGTGCTGTTAACTATTCGAGATAATCGTTCCCCGACATGCATCCACGTCCACGTCCAAGCATACTACCGACATCACATGAAGACCCGGACAACACCGGAACCCATAGACTCTGATGCTCACCTCTATCTTGACGATCATGTTGACTTCCAAGTTGACTCGTAAAATGCCCCTCCATAAAGTAGAGGGGCCATGTGGAGATGAAACGGAGGGGGCCGTGTCTGCTTTGGCTGTGATTTGTCCCTTTCCGGTTGTTCTTCAGTTTGTCCAACCCAAAAGCGAAAACAGGAAAATCCTACCCACCTGGGCTTCGAAAGAAAAAAACTCTTCCTGTCGGCTTTCTCTTATCTTCATTTATATTTCTATTCGTGCACTTATTTATGTTGCTTCCCTCTTTCCTGGAAATACAAAGACCTTCGAGATGTCACATTCCCCTCACTCGGGGTATGGCTCTCATACTCCAATGACGGCCGCCATACAGAGCGCAGAGCCCACCCGCCTCTCTGACCCCGAATCGAAAAATATCAAGATAGAGAAAGAGATGGAAGTCACCGAGAAGGACTCATCTAGCGCCAATGGCGCGGCCTCGGTCGGTAGCGGATCCATGTATGACCATACTCATCGCAAGCTCAAACCCCGCCATGTACAATTGATCGGAATTGGAGGAACAATTGGCACGGCACTATACGTTCAGATCGGATCTGGACTGCGAACCAGTGGCCCTGGCAGTTTGTTTATTGGATTCAGTCTTTGGTTAGTCTTTCCCTTGTTATACTGCTTTGTTGACTGTCTTGGGTTCTCGACCTGGGTTGTCCCGACTTTGCTACTTTCGACAATATCAACATGGACGGTGAGTAGCTGGAAATGCGAGGAAAAAGGAGAACCGTCAATGGATCAAAAGAGAAAAAGAAGCAAAAAAGCGAAGAATAAGGAACAATACAACGAAACGAAGCATCAAGAAACAGGATTCGAATCCCTGATAACACAATTGCAAATTCCAAGGATGTAGGACGCTGTTAGCCCAGACACTTCCATGCCAAACAGATGTATACATGTCGAAAGCGCCATTAGCCCTACCTCTGCCAATGCATCTGCCGAAAGCCAGTCGGACACCCAAGAACCCAACAGTCCTGCCTCCGTCCTGCGTATATCTTCTTATACTGTTATCTAGGAGTTGTGTGATTTTGATCATCACCGTCTGTACGAACACCCTTTTCATCTTTCCCACCAGCAGCATTCTTCCCACCGTATCCCATATGACCCAATGCGCCAACGGTTCAGCTTCTTGCCCCGATCGAATTGCTGCAAGACTCTTGTTCTCTCTTCTAGATGTAGTATGACATCCAAACTCACATCTTCTTTTCTAGGCTTGGCTGAAATGGTCACGTACTTGCCTATCTCTTCGCCGTTCATTCGATTCGCCGGCCGCTACGTTGATGAAGCTTTAGGTGTTGCCGCTGGATACAACTTCTTTATCTTCGAGGCCGCTCTGGTCCCTTTCGAGATTGTCGCCGTCAGCATTATTATTAAATACTGGACCGATGCGATTCCCGTCGCCGCCATGAATGTGGTTGTCATTATACTCTATGGGTTGGTCATCTTTCTGTGATCCGCGCACGCGATGCCAGCTAATAAATGGGAAACAGGGTATTAAATCTCTTTGCTGTGAAATGGTACGGTGAAGCAGAGTTCTGGCTCTCACTAGGCAAGGTCTTGTTGAGCACAGGCCTGATCTTATATACATTCATCGTCATGCTGGGCGGCAACCCGCTCGGCGATCGATTTGGCTTCCGTTACTGGAACGAACCAGGTGCCTTCAACGAGTACTACAAGACAGGGGATACCGGCAAGTTCCTCGGTGTCCTCGCAGCTGTCATCACAGCCAGTTTCACCATCGCCGGTCCGGACTATGTCTCCATGGCCGCCGGTGAGACCGTTAATCCGCGCAAGGTTCTACCCAAAGCCTTCAACGGTGTCTTCTACCGTCTCACGGCATTCTTCGTTCTGGGTGTTCTCTCCGTCGGCATTCTGGTGCCGTACAACGATAAGGCCATGGCCGATGCTTTCGACAATGGCAAGCCCGGTGCTGCGGCCTCACCCTATGTTATCTCCATGGATCGCCTGAAGATCCCCATCCTTCCAGACATCGTCAACGCCGTCATTCTCACCGCTTCGTTCAGCGCGGGCAACAGCTACATGTACTGTGCCAGTCGCAGTCTGTACGGGCTAGCGATTGAGGGCAAAGCCCCACGCTTCCTTACTAAGTGCACCAACAACGGCGTTCCCATCTACTGTGTCGGTATAGTGCTCGTCATCGGTCTCTTGAGTTTCCTGCAGGTATCCAACAGCGCAGCAGTCGTGCTGGACTGGTTTGTCAATCTGGTATGAGCCCCTACCCAGTCTCATTTTCATTCCCATACACCTAATTAATCCTAACTCCAGGTCACTGCCTCCCAACTCATCAATTTCTCCGTCGTCACATTCACGTTCATCCGCTTCAAGAAAGCTCTCGACGCCCAAGGTATCCCCCGGGAAACCTTGCCATATCGCAGCTGGTTCCAGCCGTATATCGCCTACTTCGCTTGCGCTTGCACAACGGTCATGGCTTTCGTCGGTGGCTATACCGTCTTCCTGCCCGGCAACTGGTCCATCGCGACATTCTTCTTCTCCTACACCATGATCGGCGTCTTCCCGGTTATTTACTTCGGGTGGAAATTCTTCCACAAGACCAAGTTGCTCAAACCTGAGGAGGTTGATCTGGTCACTGGTGTAGCTGAGATCGAGGATTATACCAGAGACTTCGTGGTCATACCGCCGAAGTAAGTACACTCTTTCTTCTAGTTATGATTTGGTTCTGACAATGCCTGTAGGAATGTCGTATACAAGTGGTTCCAAATTATCTTTGAATAGGACTTTCATGGGTCTCATCGCTGCTTTGGAAGATTGCGATTTAGAACATACCCAAGTGACCTCCGCTGCGAACCATTGGCCGTCTCTGCTTTGAACTATAGACAGCATGTTTATATGATGTTAGCGTCATTATGATACCCGATATTGTTATAGGAAATGAAAGAATAGACGTGATTATTAGTCGACTCGCAATGCCCTTATAATACATCTAAGTAATATCAACACACACCAAACAGTAAGAAGATGCACATCCTCCATAGCCACACACAAAGCCAAGCTAAGCCAAGCCAAGCTCTCCGTGCTATATGTCTTTCCTTATACACAATCAAGCTTCACCCGATCCTCCCTCCGCCTCCTTAGCCCTCAAAGCCTCCAACCGCTTCTGATTCCGCTTCCCAAGAACGCGCAGAGTATTACTCTTCTCAATCTCCGTCATCTGCTGCCAATTCCCAATCTGCGACAACGTCCCGTCCACGTTAACAACCATCGGACCCAGATGATCCAGTTTCACCGCTGTCCCGCCTCCGCTCATGTCGAGTTTGATACTCCCGTCGCCTTGTTGGTTTGCGATGGGGTTTGAGGGGTCGCTGGCGGGGAGGTAGAGGTGCTTTTCAGGTTCTTGTTCTTGTTCTTGGGTCTGTTGGTTTTGGGCGTCTGCATTTTGGTTTTGTGTTGCCGGGTTTGAAGACGCAGCGGCCGCAGAGTTGGAGTTGGAGTTCGAGGTTGTGCTTGAGTCACACATTGTGCGGGTTTGGTGCGTGCAGTCTGACGCTTTGAAGCTCGTTGTGCACTGTGGAAAGAGGATGCTGTACAGTCGGGTGTTTGGTGGTTGGGTGGTTGGCGCGTTGAGGGATGTCCAGGTAGTTGAGCCGGCTGGGATTGTGGCGCGCACGAATGGGTTGACGGATAGGTGGAGGAGAGCAGCGCGGTAAACTGTGCGCGATACTTGCATGGTTCGGGTTCTGGGGAGGTTTGGTGGGCTTGGTGGAGGGAAATAAGGATTGCGGAGTTGGCTCCGGTTTCTAGATTATTCGAGCTCGTCGTGGATTGTTACACCGCATTCTTCAACTTGCGCTTGTATTAAATATGAGGTCTACATAATTAATTATTGCGCAAATGGTTCAATCTTGGGTATGCATATATGTATTATCTTCAATTTTGTCTGTGATTACAGAGTTGAGAAGAGGTCGAGGGACGTCAACGGGTGCTTATTTTACCATATCGGGAGTCTCAAAACTTGCCCAGCCGATCTCAAATACTCTCTATATTCTAGAGTTACCAAGCATCGGAGTCCCGCGTGGACTTACCGCATGATACGAGTGTAAATAGCAAACTATCGAAACCACCAGTTGACCTACAAGCATATCAGCCACAGACACAAAGCTCACCAAAAGAAACATACTCACCGAAGCCGTAACACCTTCACCAACACCCTTAATACTATGCCACCACCCCTTGGGAATGAACAACCCATCACCAGCCCCAAGAGACGCTTCAAAGCCAACCCCAGCATCCGAACCAGCGGACACCGGAGTCCCCCAAACCATCTCATCTAACAACGCCCTTTCCCTCCCCTGCATCATCTCCTCGCCCCGGAAAGCCGCTGCCTCCCGACTCCCACTCTTCCCCAGCTGCCTCCTCACAGCCCCGAACACAGCCTGTCCATCCGCCGGCGCAAGCAGCCGCACAACCTTCTCCCCAGCTAGCTGGACAAACAAGTTCGGGTTCGGGTCGCGGTGAAGCGGCGTGTAAGTGGGCGGGTGTCCAATCCACACATTCGTATCATATACATCGCCCTTTCCCGCGCACGCCACGAGCTCCGGCGTGGGGAAATCTTCTCTGAGGATAAGAGGGAGGTCAAGGAGCTGGCATTGTGCTAGGTAAAGCCGCGTTGATTGGGGAGTTGTCTCGGCTGTGCGCATCCAGTCGAGGAACAGCGTGAGCGGCGCGTGGAATTGCCGAAAGGTATGAATTTCTGCTCTCTCACCGTTGGGTTTGGATGTAGCATCAGTCGATGTGGATTCCGTGAGCTCGAGTGGGACGAACGCGTCGGCGCCGTGTTGGCGGAGATATTCCACATTCAGGCTTGCGCCGGGGTTCGAGGTGCCCGGTGTTGACTCCGGACTCGCGCGTTTGAACCACTGTTTCAGGGCGGGGAGGTCTTGGAAGGTAGAGCGCGGGAGGATTGCTGGTTGTTCGGGGAGGAAGCATCGCTGCTGGAAGGTCTCCAGGGTGGCATTTTCGAGGATGTTGACAGGTCTGTATTGAGGGTGTGAAGAAGCGGAGAAGTTTCGGACGCTTGATCGTGGTTTATTATGGAGGGATGAACAACTGAGTCGCATCCAGACTCGGATTGACCATGCCTGGAGCTTCATCCAGATCGACGTAGGAAGGGCGAGACAATGAAGATCGGACAACGACCTCGGGAGATGAACGGGTGGATCTCCGAGATAACGGTCTTCTTATCAGTCTACCACGTGACTCCATATGCTGTTTCTGGACCGCCGACACAAGTCACCCAACACAAGCTGCAGGGAAGCTTGACTTGCAGGTGAAGAACTGAAAACTCCATGTGTCAATAAGTATAGGCTATAATTAGTCGTCAAAACCTAAGATAACTTCCGACGAATGCTTACCACAAGCGTGCATCTATCGGAGGGATCTATCCGTGGACTAGAACTATATATTTCTTCACCAGCGACGGTGACTATACTGTCGTCGCATTCTCCGCTACTAACAACACCCCTTCCACCCAAAAATGGATTATTTATAAACAGCTCTCGGAGCATATCATCGTATCACAGACTACGATGTAGAGGAAGGACTTGGTCCCTCCTTCGCTGCGGGCAAATTCGCTTGTCACACAACTTCTCCCCCTCCCTCAAGATATGCAGAGAAACGATAGCCTCATCCCAGGGGATTACGTGGATTATCTGTGGGGGCTACAATGTCCGGGAAGCGTTCTGGCCGCTGCACCAAAACCTACGGGATAACATCCGTGAAGTACTTCTACAGCTTCGTGTTCTACACGCCTAAATTCATATAGAACTTGGCTATCACAGGTCTATGGTCACCTTTTCGCATAGGAAAGATCGTTTACGATCTTGATTCGCAGGCTATGTATGTCTATGGCATGGGCTACCGATTTAGGGACAGAAGCTGACCTCATTCCACTCGGCATATATGCGGTTTCTGGCAGCGAATCAAACATGGACGGCACTGTTCACAACTTGTTCCCGCAGTACAAATTTGGACCGAGAATCGAGCTAGCTGGATCTGGTAAATCAATATACTACGATGGTGCAGTTAATAGCCTAGGCAGTCTATTATCTTGACCCCGCTCTTCCGCTTGAACCAGACTCCTTTCTCAGACCGATTTTGCACAATAGATCCTTGGTTGGTGCATCAGGTACGAACCCTACTACAAAAGCCATCAAGCGATTTTCCCTGAGTGTCATTTGCCCTTCAAGTCATTCTGAAAAGGATCAATCATGAGCCATATAGGGAGTATTGCCGTCAATCACAAAGAAGGTGCATGAAGCCGACGAAGACCGAGGTTAAAATGGATCCATGCAGTTTTGTACATACCCTTGCACGTCTGACAAAAGGCCGGCCATGTGACTGTACTTCCCTAGCCAAGAAAGACACTAACATTTAAAGCTCACTCTTGCCCTCCCAGGTTTATGGTCGTTGAATTTCCTATAATTACTACTAACCTGCAACATGCCTTCCTCCATCGCCCGGATTCATAAGCGCCATGCATACGGCAAGAATGCTCACACTTATTATCCGGTCCTCATAGTAGGTGCTGGAGAGTCGGGAGTGGCTATGGGTTGCCGGCTCAAAGAGGTCCTGGGAACAGACCAGTTCCGAATTTTCGAGCGTCAGTCAGGTATTGGAGGTACCTGGTGGATCAATAGGTATCCGGGAATTGCTTGCGATGTGTAGGTGATAGTGTTCTAATTGTCTAAATACTTAATAACTAACCCAGAAGGTAAAGACCAGCGACATTCTACTCTTTCTCCTTTGCTCAGAAAAAGGACTGGTCCACACTTCATCCTCCAGGACCAGAAATTGCACAGTATTTGGCAGATGTCTGCGAGAGATATCAAATTGTGGACAAGATTCAGTTGCATACCGATGTCAAGGAACTTCGATGGATCGGGGATGACGAGGAATGGGAGGTTACGCTCTCGCACCTTGTCCCTGGAACTGGCGATTTGACTCAACACGAACGAGATCGAATCGCTGCCCAGGATGGTCATCACAAGATCTATGTCAATACAGAAATTGTGCGAGCCAAGGTGGTCGTGAGTGGTGTTGGCGGGCTGGTAGAACCGAACACATGGCCGAAGGACATCCCAGGTATTGAACACTTCGAAGGTGACATCATGCATACGGCCCGCTGGAACAACCAGATCGATTTGAAAGACAAGAATGTCATCATGATTGGTTCCGGCTGCAGCGCCGCGCAGGTAGTGCCCGAGCTGGCCAAGCCAGAGGCCAACGTTCGATCCATTACCCAACTCATGCGAACTCCTCCGTGGGTCGAGCCCGACATTATCTCTCCTGAATATCTCCCTGTGTATGAAAAATGGTCGCCTAGACTGGTGACTAACTTGCCTGGACTGGCGTTATTCATGCGATGTGTTGTTTTCCTCATTATGGAAAAAAACTTCCACGATATGTTCACGGACACTGCATGGAGCCGAAGAGCGCGGCCGCAATTAGAGAAGAAGTTTTTGGACCACATGCGTCAAATTGTGCCAGAGAAATACTACGAGATCCTGACACCAAACTACAGCCTCGGCTGTAAGAGACGGGTCATCGGCGGCACTTGGTATCGCAGTCTCAATGCTCCAAACGTGGAGCTAACTACTCAGCCTTTGACAAGGGTTAATGCAAAGAGTGTGACTCTTGGTCCAGGCCGCCACTATCCACCGCACAAGTCTGAAGACGCAGTTGAGGTTAGAGAGATTCCCGCTGATGTGATCATCATGGCCAACGGGTTTGAAACCAACCAATGGCTGCACCCACTGAAGGTGATTGGCAGGAAGGGCAAAGATCTGGAAGAGGTTTGGGCGCAGCGTGGAGGTGCCCAGGCATACCAGGGCATCGCAATGGATTCTTTCCCAAACTTCTTTATTATTTTCGGTCCGAATACCGCAACAGGCCATACCAGTGTTATCTTTGCAACGGAGAATGCGGTAAACTACTCGTTGAACTTTATCAAGCCGATCTTAGATGGTCAGGTCAGCTCGTATGAAGTCAAGGAGGATGCTGAGCGTGAATGGACCCAGCAGGTGCAGGATGCGCTTCAGAAGAGTGTGTTCCGTCGTGGAGCTTGCTCTAGCTGGTACATCACTGCCGACGGTTGGAACTCAACCACATATCCGTACGTTTCTTGCTTATGATTTCTAGTTGTTACTGACATAGTACCAGATTCACTCAGGTTCACTATTGGTTGCGTTGCACATTCCCCGTGTGGCGGCATTGGACTGCGAAACTCACAAGAAAGGGACGGGTTTTACGAGGTGTTCGAAAGACTCTCCAGGGTGCTCTCATCCTTGGGTTTATTACAGCCTTTGGCTTCTTGAGTCGGAACCCTCAGCAGAAGGTTCAGTTGGTGCAGTCATTGCTGGCCGGGAAAGAGTGGCTGGCCTCCGCGGTTTCGCAATTGAAGCGATGATATCTTTTTATTCGGATCTAGTTAGGCCTTGTATCTTTTGAAATTGGAGTACCATCTTCAGACCAAAATATATGCAATTAACAATATTATGTTGTATACCAGTATACTCCTATATTCTCCAAACGCTGGGACCAATGACTGGCCGGATAATCAGATGAGTAAGCTGAATCTGGGGAAACCCCGCGGGAGAGGAATTTCTCCGCACTTTAACTCGATAGCTCTCACCGGCTACTCATTGAGTCGCTTCATATTCTGCAGGCCATGGCTTCAGAGTCACCCCAGATAGAAATGTCACCGCCGCAGTCGGATCCCCGCGATCATTCCGTCGGTGCGTCTGATTCCAACAAGAGAAAGGCGGAACAAGGAAACGGAACGCAGGCGCGCACGAAGCGGAATCGCTACATCTCCATTGCATGGTATGATATGGCCTGATATGGCCTGATCCGGCACTTTTTCCTTTCCACCCCTCGGTCGCTTTACCTTGCAGCATTGCGACTGGTTGGATAGCCTGTTTTGCATTCAAAGCCATACGATTCTGCCTTCTCCTTGGGTACTTTTGTCGGCAGATCCGAGCTAACCGTGGAGTTTTCAGTAATGAATGCAAGCGGCGCAAAATCAAGTGCAATGGCCAAATGCCTTGTCAACGATGTGGCCACCTGAATTTAGAATGTAAGTGGCTCTTATGTTGGCTCATAGCTCGTGCGTTCGAGCTATCCGATCAATGGTCTCATCGCTAACCAACTCGCCAGGTCGCTATGCGCCTAATTGTTGTAATAACAATTTCAAAGATTCGGAGTCAGTCGAGGAGTAAACCCCGCCCAGCATTTGATACTAACAACCGAGCTAGTGAATTCCGGTCAATCACAGATCAGATCACTACTCTACAAGACCAAGTCAATAGCTTGTTCAGCAATCTTAATGAACTTCGCACCCAAAGACCAGCCTTTGAATCACCAGGGTTTGAGCATCTCTCTCGAGATGGGTCTCAGTCAGTCTATACTCCAATACAAGCTGGGCTCGAAAAGCCCCGAGCCCGTCCCCCACGCTTTCATGGTCCAACAAGCTCGGCCTTCAACTTTGACGTGGCCAAATCCAGTTTGCAGAATATGGGTATCACCCCAGCGGAAGATGGAATCCCAGATGGCTTGACCACCGCACATGTTTCTCCAACAGGGTCACCACCTCCCAATCTGGGACAACTTCTTCCAACCACACACCCTACCAAGGATCCAATATGGACGATCCCGCGTGAAAATGCAATGCGTCTTTGTAAGGTTTACGAGGAAGAGATTGGGATCATGTATCCTGTGGTGGATATCGCCAAGGTTACCAGCCAGGCTAATCTGCTCTACACATTCATAGAGGCTGCCACCAGGACAGGCTTTGCACAAAGAGGGTTTCCGGGTTCTGACGGTCTTCACGACGAAAGCTCGATTATTCTTAAATTGATTCTCGCAACCACGCTGGTCGTGGAGGGGGCGGTCAAAGTGAACTTGGGCACCGGCTCTACTTGGATGTTAAGCCATTTATAGAATCGAAGTTGTGGGAGCCTCATACCATCAAAACTATCCAGCTCTTTGCTATTGTGGTAAGTCAAGGTTTCTTCAAAAGCCGCAGTCAATAACCCTAACTTTGATCCCAATCTAGGCCACATACCATTACCATACAGACGATGATGCCATGGCTTATCGGCTTATTGGGTTGGCGGCACGGATGTGTTTAGAGATGGGATTGCATCGTCGGGATGCTTTGGTGAAGTCATTCCCAGATGAGGTCCAGTGGGACGAGATCACTCGGCTGTTCTGGTCAGTCTACAGCTTGGACAGACGATGGAGTTTAGGAACAGGGTTACCTTTCGTGATTCAGGACGAGGATATTGATCCGAACTTACCAGAACCTGTAAGGCTGCATATATTTTGCCATAAAGCTACCTTTATTAACCAAGATATGAAAATTACAGGATGCATCGCTGCCTTACTTGCGCTGCATGGTCCTATACAACCGGATCAGCTCGAAGATCTGGTACTCTGGTTTGGGCTCCGAAGGCACCACTGATGTCCGTCGTGATGAGATCGGCTATCTGGATTACCAAATCCTGCAGTGGTACAAGCAGGTTCCAGAGGAGCTCAAGTTCTATCCTGTCGACTCCCCCAAAAACGGCGAAAACGTAAGCAGAGGCATGAAGCGACTCAGGGTTCTCTTATACCTGCGGATGAACCAGCTGCGCATCCTGATATATCGCCCTGTGCTCCATTCTCCTGCCAGCATTGCCGAAGATCGAGGCCACGCACAGACTGTTGTGGAAGTAGCCAAAGACTCAATCCGTGTCCTAACTCGGCTGAATCAGTTGTCCGATATCTACCGGACACAGCAAATAACATTCAACTATTTCTTGGTTGCTGCCTTGGCGGTGCTATTCCTAGCAGTGTCCCATGCCCCGGTCGACTTCAACCGACAGGTCCGCGATGAATTCTACATGGCTCTAGACCTGGTCAACGGGTTCAGTACCAAGTCCTACGTCTCCAAGCGGTTATGGAAGACGATTAAAGGTCTACGAAAGATCGGCGAGAAACTTGGTGTTCTCGCCCGTCCTTTTGGAACGGACTCAAATGATCCTCATTCAAGCGCTGCGGTCGCCATGGCCGGGCTCGCGGGACATCCAATCCAGGACCTGTCTATGTACGGGCCTCTGAATGGTGGGAACGAACTTGGAAGTAGTCCTCTCAATGGACTCCAGATGAGTCAAGAGTTGACAAACCTGTTTGAGGCTGTTGGCGCATTTGGTAATTTCATATCTAACACTTCAAGTGACGGTATTAATGGATTCGTTGGGCCGGATGGGGAAATTCAGAACACTGGCGAGGGTTTGTCTGGGGTTTTGGGCGATGAGGGAGAGTTTGCTCGAGTCATTCGAGACTTGTTCTGAAATTTAGTATATACCCTTTTATATTTACCTAGGTGGTAATATAGTAACACAGGCCAAATGGAAGGTTATCTAATTGAGTCGATATGAATATCTTGCGTACATGTATGCAGACGTTGATAGCCTGCTTCTATTCCCACGTCAGCTGACACGTGACTCCTGCCACTCAGGCAAATCGAAACCTGCCAGCATTGACTTCGCTTTAGCCATCGTGGGAGACAACAGAAGATACACAATAGCTGTCCCAAAACGTGAACAGCCCAAGCCTTTCTCTCCAACTACCCACCGCCCCCACGAACCGAACGGACCTAACCCGATTCGATCGACACACCCAACCTCCAGGCTCGATCACCAATATTAACCTCCGAGCGTCTTTGAGCTCTGGTAAGTGATCCGACGGCTTTCGATATGAAGGCCACAAGAAACTGATAAGATTCTAGTGGGGCCTTAGATCCAACCTCTTCCCGTCGATCGCACAATCTCCCCTCTCCCGCACATTGCCATGAACGTCTAGCTTTTGGCCCCTCCATCAACTTCAAGATCTCCTCCAATTACACTTGAAGTCTTTCATTCTGACCCCCAAACCCTGTACCCCTTTTCGCCACGAGCCAGCCTCTCCGTGTGACGAAATCGCTTCGTCTTCGCCAACATCGCCGAAGACCTCACCCCCCAGCTCGGCAACGTGTCGAGAGAGACAGGTTCGGCGTTGGCCGACGGCCTCGACAGGCTGGATTTGAGTCAACTGTCTGAATCGACCCTTTCGTCATCTGTGTCCGCCTCATTCGACATGTCGTCCTCGGAAGGCGCGCCGGAGTCCTGGATTTCCTCGTTTTGTTCGTTGATGGGCCATGAGTTTTTCGCAGAGGTGTCGGAGGACTTCATCGAGGATGATTTCAATCTGACTGGTCTCCAGTCGCAGGTGCCGATGTACAAGGAGGCACTAGAGATGATTCTCGATGTGGAGCCGGAGGATGACGAGGAAGAGGAGGAGGAAGAGGAGGAGGAAGATGAAGACGATGCGCTCGGCGGCGAACCTGCATACAGAAGAGCCGGCGATCGGCGACACGCCCGAGTCGCAAGCGATTTGAGCGTGATCGAGAGCTCTGCCGAGCTCCTGTATGGGTTGATTCACCAACGGTATATCACCTCGCGGCCTGGCATTCAACAAATGCTCGAAAAATACGAAATGCAGCATTTCGGCACCTGTCCGCGAGTCAACTGCAACGGATGCAAAGTTCTCCCCGTAGGCCGATCCGACACCCCTGGCCACGAAACGGTCAAGCTCTTCTGTCCCGGTTGCATGGATATTTATACACCCCCCAACAGCCGTTTCCACTCCGTCGACGGCGCATTCTTCGGTACAACGTTCGGATGTCTCTTCTTCATGACATTCCCAGATCTGGATATCGGGCCCCGTCTGGATGCAGCACTGTCATCCATCTCGCCACGGAATGCAGCAACGCAGTCTCGCACTGGCTCTCTGACACGCACTCCGGCAGGTCGCCAGGCACGGTCGCCCACACCAGAGAATCAGCCGCTAGAAATCAACGGCGTCCGGACACCCAACCTCTGCCCGGGACTCGGCAAGGGCAAGATCTATGACCCCAAGATCTACGGCTTCAAGGTTTCTGAGGTCTCGCGTGTCGGCCCGCGCATGAAATGGCTGCGCATGAAGCCCAAAAATGTTGTCGAGCTCGACGAAGCGTGGAATCACGAGCATGGGATGTCTCCGCAGGAGGCACGCGACGATAAGGAGGGCGACACCGAGATGAACCCGGAACAATCGCAAGATGCTGCCATTGCGAACCGCAAGAAAGCCCCGATGCGACGCCGGCGACCGAACCTTGGCGCCCTGGTCCCCACAGATCCTATGGACGTGCACGGTCGATGAGGGGATAAAAAGCTTGCATTCGTGGTTGTTTCAAGATTAAGTCTACCGTGTCAGGGGAAGATCTGTGCCATGCCCTTGACGGGACGATTGGTTCAGAGTTGATGACGACGATGACAGATGTTTGAGCTTGGTCTACTCGCTGCTTTGAATGGGATTCTCTTTTCTTCTAATCTATTGGGCTTTTATTCTGTCTGCGCGCATCTTCCTGGCCACTTTCCGCGATCCTGTTTCGAGTACAAGGATCAATTTGTCCCCATTCATTGTTTTATTCTTTTGTTCGTCCGTAGACTCAGCACATTACTTTTTTGAATGGAACATGATAGTAGTAAACATTGCTTGCCAACTATCTTTTTACCTAACTACGTGCTTCACATTTTTATGACTCAGATGGGTACTCCGTACAGAGTCGCCAGGGCCCACCTCCACGTCAGAAGACAAATCATCATAAGCATAAGAGCAACAGAGCCTCAAGTACCAAGTACCACAATTCCCTAAGGATCTGCAAGAAAAAGCTGAGCCTCCACCAACTTTGAGGCTCCAACTGCATGTGAACGTCGCCCAACAGGCTCGTGTACACCGGCGTCCCCGACGTAACCCAACGCATGGGGAATTTCAAACTCAAACATTCCAAATCATGCAGCAAGTTCCTAAGTCTACTCAATCATACGCTAGCGTTTGACGTTAACACATCGGCGACGCCGACGTCAAGGATGCACGATGCCCGTGCCACCTATGACAGCAGTCTCGTATTAATTAGGCCGTGCCTTAGTTGGTTACTTTGCACTATGAATCTGATTTGTAAGGATAAAAAGTACATACAACATAGTTAGTTAATTTATAATCCACTCAACCGGTAACTAACTAACTAGACCCCTGCACAAAGAAAACACACTAAGTCTATATAGTGCGCCGGACTGGCGGACTGGCGGAACGGCGGATGAGCGGTCCACCTGGAAATCCCATTGGGGATTTAGCGTATGCGGTAGAGCTGTTAGCGTATATGTATATATGCATGGCCACACGCAACCCTGGTCAATTATTGGGGTTGGGCGCGTAGACAACTTCTTCGACTTGGTTTGTCCTATTGGAATCGCGGGATTGTGGTGTAACGCTGGAACTGGGACTGTCACATGGGGTATGCTCATAACCATGGCTAAGATTCTTTGTTAGTGACGCGTTGCGATTCTCAGGTATTGGATGGTGCTGTTGACGGTGCTGCTATGGTGGGTCTTGGCTGGTGAGTGCATTGTTCGTGCTGGTTTATTGGTTTTGGTATGTTGGTTCTGGTTGCCTTGAATGAGGGGGTTTTGTATTGCCACGCTCCTCTCTTATTCTATTTCTTTTTTAATAATAGCAACAATGTAGTATATCTTTCTTCGGCTAATGCTTTTGACTATTTGGTCCTTTCAAATTTACTTTTGTAAGAACATGAGTTGATATACAGATCTATGAATGAATGGTGAGATCTTTAATTTAATAACCTTGCATAATCTTATATCTTGGCACTGGACACAGTCAGCCTGGAAATGAGTTGATCATCTTAAAATTAGGTCTTACCATAGTCCTGATGTAGATCAAGGCCCATTGAAGCGAGTACAATGGTCCCCCCTACTCAACTGGGTATCATGACAGCACTATCCCAACAACATAAAGCCTCCCATTACTCGGACTTCGGAGAAGGAAATAGAGAGGAAGGGGACATCTACAGCTCTCTCAACCAAGCCATATTGACAGAAAAGGGGTTTTAGCTCCTAAATTACATCTCAATGTTCAAAGTAATGTCATTGCTCGGTTTAGGAAAGACTGTGTACGGTGGCTGTAGCCTCAACCCACTCTATAAACCCACCTCGGGGGATATTGGAGCCACAATTTAGAACCAAGTAAGAAACTGGAGAAAGTAAGAGCCAAACCTTAGTTATAAGCCTTCGATTACTCTGTTGGGAGCTTATCAAGGCTTGTTTTTGTCCACCTACCACGTCAGCAACATTAACGAGCGCACGTTCTCCCTTTGCCCGTCGGGAAGAACCCGAGACTAAATGCTGACTCCTCCAATAAATAGTCTATCTCAAAGACCCATAATTGGAGGCTCATATGGCACATGGTCGAGAATCTAGTACTCCGTACTGCATTCCTAATTAGTGCCACGCACGGCGACACCGCGTGGAAATTACAAATCACAACATACTCTAGACCAGCAGCTCAAAACCCAAAGTCGATCCAAGAAGATCTCGACCAAATTCGACCAGCTCGACCGAGTAGTGCCCATGCATGTCGACCCCAAAAATAGTCCTACTCCCGTACCAAGACGCCAAGCACACCATGTATATATGCGTCGCAAATCGACTTCCTCATCTGTCAAGGTTAAAATAACAAAGAACTCCCGACATAGCAACCGAAAGACCTAGAGACTACAGTTCCCAATACTGCGGTCTCCCGCGCTGACTGCGGCCAGCCCCGCTGCAGAATGTGGAGTTTGACGGCGCATATCCCTTAAGGCGCCCTACGGGTCTGGGCGGCGATAGGCTGATCTTAGCTGGTTCTGATTCCTGACATTAGGATCATCATCATTCTCAACGGCATTCGTCCACGGGTGTTCAGCTTGTTAGCTCACATATGTGGTGGATAACTTGAGGAACTTTATTCCGCTGTACTTTTTTCCGTTGCATATTCCCGTTTATTTGCGCTGTTTTGTCTAGCCTCGGACTGGGGTTGCCTTGTAATGAATGGCATGTTCTATGCTAGGGGTATATCCTCCGCCCTGTACGGAGTATACGGAGTAAGTCTTACTAGCACGGAAGCTAGAACCACGGCTGGAAGATCCTATCTCTTTCTCTCTTTATTCAGATTCCCAGCCTCGGCAATACTGACCGAGTTGACATTTTTGGCTTTCGCCGTAGATAAGGTTGGGGACAAATGCGGGTGAATCACTGCAACATGCAACATGCGACGGGGAAATCGGTCAAAATCCGCTATTATATAAACATAAAACACCTTCCTCTTTGGCCAATGCTGAAGCCCTCTCGTCCACATCTCCATATTTTTAGATCGACACCGGTCAGGGATGGGGGATAGGCGGGAACGCTGCAGGCCAGAGCCGCCAACCCTGATAAAA